TGCCGTAAATCTACAAGAGGGTAAGTTAGCAGCCAAGCAGATGGATGCCATACTTGGCTATAATGTGACTAAACTGCAGGCAGTGTCTTCAGACTATCAGAGTATAATTTAAGTGTCAGAAGTAGTAGTTTATGGTCTGTAGGAACTTGGTATAAAAAAGGTACACTGAAGGGTTTCCCAGAAGCAGGTGCAAAATAATGTGTTTTCATATTTTTTCCTCCCACAAAACTGTTTAATTAAATTTATAAAAAAAGTGATACAATCACACTGTGATTTTGAATTTGAGCATTATTTCACCTTTATCTCAAGGGCTTTTTGCCTGCAAAAGACATGTTGCAAAACTCTGGAACATTATTTATAGTAGTGAATGTTTGAGCTGGGGAAACTTACAAAAATCAAATCAGAACTGTAGAATCAGCAATTAAAGTGATTTCTGAGGTCTGTTCTGGAACCATGGAGGAGAATTAAGTTGTTATATACATTATATGCTCTTACTACGCCACTTCTTTTAGCTGAGAAAAGCTTACTGATTCCCATTTCATTAAAGCATCTTCCATCAAAAATACAGATGTAGCAATAACAATTTTTACTAGTGTCTTGCTGACTTGTCAAAAGCTGTAAAGATTTGTTAATCTGCAAAATACTGAACTTCTGAATATTATCTGATTGAAATGAGTTTTATTGTTGTTTTAACTTTCCAGTGTTTTATAGAGAGCCAAAGTTCACGGTGTGCACATTCATATCATCATATTTTGTATCTTTTACAGGAGTAGTTGAATGTATGGCAGCTGGCACAGTTATCCTGGCTCACAATTCTGGAGGCCCGAAATTAGATATTGTGGTACCCTATGAAGGACACGTTACAGGCTTCCTAGCAGAAAACGAGGACAATTATGCCGAGACGATGGCTTATATCCTCTCTTTGTCTCCTGAAAAAAGATTAGAGATCAGAGAAAATGGTCGTCGCTCTGTGCACAGATTTTCAAACCAGCATTTTGAAGACACATTCCTGTTATCTGTGGAACCATTATTTAAATAAATGTATATAAATAAAAATTTATAGGAGTAAAATTAACTTTTTGTATTTGACTGTGTGGCACCTGTAAATATATCTAATCTATGATCCCTTGGTCCCATTCAATAAAGAGGGTTTTTTTCTTGCTGCCAGGCTATTTACTGTATGTAACAGATTTTTTTTCTACTGGGAAAGAAATGCTTCTGCATTGACTTCATGACAGCGTGGTGCACTTCAAAACCCTCTGGATTCACAAATCATGATACTGCTTTGGTAGCAGAACTACATCAGGAAGCTCTTTAATTTATTGAATACTTTCAGTCTTCACCCATTTTATGGCTCTCTACCCATAGTCACACTTTTTTGAAGCCAACACTTTTGTTTTATACCCTTTCTACCCAGTAATTTTTTTCCCCAGAATCTAGAGCACATTTTCAATTTGATCTCCCCTGTTGTGTGGCAAAATTCTGTTACATAGGATTTTAATTGTAGTTCTGAAGATCTCTACCTACAGTGATTCCTTTAGGATAAACATGTGGTATTGTGCTTTTTATAAGTGTAATAACTGCACTTTTCTGTGATCCTTATATTAGGTATTTCCTCGTGCCCTTTCATGTATAACAACTTAATGGTATTTTTCCAACCCTTCTCCGTTGAAAGGTTTTCTGTTCCTAGGGAATAGAAAGGTCTAGATTAGAGAGCATAATTAAATGCTATGCAAACATGAATGTTAAAGCTCTAAGTGACTGCTTATTATAAAACTGAGAACAGTACAAACTATATGTTCAAGAATTTGACACTGTCCTTTATTGGATGTGGAGGGAAGCATAGGGGCAAAGGATGAGTAAAAGACTGAAGCACTTAATACCTTCTTTGCATCTGTCTTTAAGTGTAAGACCAGTCGTTCTCTGGGTATCCAGCCCCCTCAGCTGGAAGACAGGAATGGGAAGCAGAATGAAGTTCCTATAATCCAAGGAGAAATGCTCAGCGACCTTCTACACCACTTACACATGCACAAGTCTGTGGGGATAGATGGAATTTACCCAAGGGTAGTGAAGGAGCTGATGAAAGCTCTCACCAAGCCACTTTCCATCATTCACTGGCAGTCCCAGCTAACCAGAGAGGTCCCACTTGACAGGAGGTTGGCAAATGTGACACCCATCTACAAGAAGGGCTGGAAGGAGGATCCAGGGAACTACAGGCCTGACAGTCTGATCTTGGTACTGGGGAAGGTCATGGAGCAGGTCATCTTGAGTACCATCACATGTCATGTACAGGACAACTGGGGGATCAAGCCCAGCCAGCATGGGTTTGTGAAAGGTAGGTCTTGCTTGACCAACCTGATCTCCTTCTACAAGAAGGTGATCCAATTAGTGGATGAGGGAAAGACTGTAGATTTTGTCTACCTGGGCTTTAGTAAAGCATTTCACACCATTTCCCCAGTATTCTCTTGGAGAAGCTGGCAGCCCAGGGCTTGGAAGGCCTGGGTAGAAACCTGTCTGGGTGGCTGGGCCCAGAGAGTGGTGGTGAACAGAGTTAAATCCACCTGGTGTCTGGTCACCACTGGTGTCCCCAGAGCTCAGTGCTGGGGCCAGTCCCATTTAATATCTTTATTGATGATTTGGATGAGGGGATCAAGTGCACCTTCCATCAGTTTGCAGAGGACACTGAGTTGGGTGGGAGTGTTGATCTGCTGGAGGGCAGGAAGGCTCTGCAGAGGGATCTGGACAGGCCAGATTGATGGGCTGAGGCCAACTGTTCAACAAGGCAAAGTGCTGGGTCCAGCACTTGAGTCACAACAACCCTGTGCAGTGCTACAGGCTGAGGGAAGAGTGGCTGAAAAGTGGCCCAGCAGAAAAGCACCTGGGGGTGCTGGTTGACGACCACTTGAACATGAGTCAGCAGTGGTGCCAGGGTCTAGTTGACAGGATAGTGTGGGGTCATGGGTGGGACTTGATGATCTCAGAGGTCTTTTCTAACTTGGTTCATTCTGTGATTCTGTGTGCCCAGGTGGCCAAGAAAGCCAACAGCATCCTGGCTTGTATCAGAAATAGTGTGGCCAGCGGGACCAGAGCAGTGATTGTCCTGTAACTTGTCACTTGTGAGGCCACACCTCAAATTCTGTGTCCAGTTCTGGGCCCTTCACTTCAAGAAAGGGAAGGTGCTGAGCATGTCCAGAGTAGGGCAATGGAGCTGCTGAAGGGTCTGGAGCACAAGTCTTATGAGGAGTAGCTGAGGGATCTGGGGCTGTTTATCCTGGAGAAAAGGTGGCCCGGGAGTATCTTATTACACTCTACAACTACCTGTAGCAAGGTGGGCATTGGCCTCTTCTCTCAAGTAACAAGAGACAGGACAAGAGAAAACGACCCCTACTTGTACCAGTGGAGGTTTCAATTGGATGCTAGGAAAAATTTCAACACAGAAAGGGTTGTCAAGCATTGGAACAGACTGTCCTGGGAAGTAATGGAGTCACCATGCCTGGAGGTATTAAAAGATGTGTGTATGTGGCACTTAGGGACATAGTTTAGTGGTGGACTTCACAGTGCTCGGTTAACAGTTGAACTATTGTAGTGGTTTGAGCCAGGTTTTCCCCCTGAAACTAGGAAAGTGGTAACCCCCAGGGGGTGGTGACCCTTGGGGCTTGACCCAATCAATGCTCCTGCAAAATATAAACATATCTCTGGAGACCGGAAAAGAAGTAGTGGTACTTGTTGTGAGAAGAAGAGGTGGCCATGTTGTGGTGAGGCCACGAGGAGAAGGGGCTCCGGCCCCTTGGGGGCCTCTGCCCCCCTCAGCCCCCAGTTGGGGGGCTGCAGGGACTTGGAACAGTGTTAGCTGGACTGAGTGCCTGTGGCTAGGAGCTGGGGGAGTTTTCTCCCCTGTAAGCAGAAGTGGGAGATGCTGGGAGCAGCGACGGAGCAGCAGCAGAACAGCAGTGTCCGAAGAGCAGTGGCAAAGAGCCAACTGATAAGAACCAAGAGAAGCAGCAGATGCCGGTATGCAACTGAAGCAGACACAGAGTTGTCTGAGGAAACGAAAAGAGCCAGCAGCAGAAAGCAGGACAAGAGACCCAAGCCAGCAGCAGGAAGAGAGTTTCGGAGGGTAAGAACTGGACAAACCAAAACCCCCAAACTCGCTAGAGACCCCTCTGAGAAAGAGGAGGGGGTGGAGGACTGAGTGGAGTCCTAAAGTGCAGTATGCACTACAGAGAGGAGCTAAAAAGCTCTGGCCTCCTGAGAGCTCAGCCAGGATGGCCAAAAGAATGTGTGTGGAGGGGGTGACCTTGGGCTTCCCCCCCCCCCTCCTTGCTGCAGCTTCAGAGAAGCTGGCAGCCATCTTTGAGGCAGAGCACAGAAGCTCTGTGAAGGGGCTTGATTTCCCCTGAAAATACCAGACTGTCACGAAGACCCCCATGCTTCGTGATATGACCGTGGTGGAACGACCTTGTCTGGGGTTACGTAGTCCACGGAAAGACCCCCGTTTTGAAGACGGAGGGCCGAGAGGGGCTTGGAGACCCCCCTCGTGTGTATTGGCAAGGATCCAGCTGCAACTGCTGCCTGGAAGAGAAGAAGAGAGCCTGCTGCCTAGAGAGAGCCTGCTGCTGACAGACTGGAAGGGGTCTTTTCTTCTTCTTCTCTCCTGGACTTTTATTTAGAGAGAGAAGAGATTGGGCCCATTGTAAATATTATTGTCATGGTAGAGATAGATATAGAGTTAAGATTGTATGCAGTGTATTATAGTATTTATTTATGTGTATAGTCTTTGTAATATATTCCTTCCCCCATATTGAGTCTCGTGTTTTTGTCTGGAAAACCCATCTCACATAGGGTTGAGACTGTGGGAGGGGGGCTAGGAATCAGAATTGGATTTTGGGCCTTGCTGAAACCATGACAACTATCAAACTTTAGAATGTAGTTTTCCCTCTATTTAAGATTCACCTGGATTATATGAAACTTTTAATATGAAAAAATATGGTTGGAAGAACTTACATCCCATGTTTTATTAGGAATTGGGGAATGCACAATTTTCATGGTGCTAATAAACCCTTTTACTGCTACTATATTAAACTGCTGAGCAGCTGATGATGCTATGTTGGGTCAGTACTTTGTAAATGAAACTATGGATTACAAAACTGTACTGGCAGTACAAAGAGATTATGAAAAGATGGAAGAGATTCTTAAAACTAGGAGTTGATTGAGCTAGGGAAGTAAAATATACAAACTAGGAGATTTCTTACATGATACAAAAATGGTTAAACAGAGTATGCAATCAGAAATTTGCTCAAGCAAGAGTTGTCAGAGATGTCCAGGTAGTTTAGAATAACAGATGAAAGTGCATTTCAGTCTGGATGAGGATTTTTCAACATTCAGACATCTGAAAAGTAGCCTGATTTTTTTTCCTTTTAAACAAAATAACAGCCTTCTATCCATTTTATTTGAGCGTTTAACACTGTTGAAAAGCAGTTGATTTACTTGGCATTTAATGTCAGCTATCCTTAAATTTTGTCACTGATGTGGCTGAAATTTCAAGCAAGTTAAAATTTTGCGACAGTAACCCTGCTGATGTTCTAAGTAGCTCTTGCTTCCTGCTTGCCTTTTTTGTGATGTGTGTGAACACTAAATTAGCCATGATTATTTTCTAAATCATCATCAGATTTTCCAAGTAGTAGATGAGGTAAACTCATCTTTTGTTCATCTGTTTGACCTTTATTCATTGGAAAGATGGGAGACTCCATGGTTCTCTCTGCTGGAGAAGCTGCCAATTTTTCCAGAGATTCCTCCAGCTCATGTCTGAGTTCATCTTCAGAATCTTCAAAATTTCTGCAAAATAAAACAAAATAATTATATTAAGTAAATATAACTTTGTTACAAACCTTTCTCCTTTCAATGTCTTTCCGATTTTTTTAAAACACTCTATAAAGAATATACATGCAACACATATAATATGAACTGTTTCTTTTCTCCTTGTGAGATTATTTACCTGTATTTATAAAGCAAGAGAAAGGAGCTGCAAAGCCATTAATAATTAATATTTTTGCATAATGTAATTTTTAATGACAGCATTGGCTGTGGCATATTAAATTACAGAATTAAAAGTTAAATTAGCAGACTCTGTAAGTAAGCTTTTTCATTTATGAATTTAAAATAACACAAAAAAAAGCTTTAGGCAATGCAAGCTGTCATTTCATGAAAACTGTTCAGTTGTGTGGATTTTTCTTCTGATGTGCTTGACTTACGTGTCTTCATCATCTGATCTTGGCTCAAGTCTGCCTTCATCAACAGCAACAGCAGAGCATGTTTCTGAATCATCTTTCTTGCTTTCTTTTGGAGGCAACAGAGTTAATTTCCCTTCTGGAAAGGAAGAGAAACTTTCCTTCAGTTGTGTAATAGAAAACTGTAAAAGTGTGTAAAGTAATAGCAAATTAGTAAATGCTTGAATTGTTTTGTTGTTGTTCAAATCACAACAATGTAAATCCCATGCTTCTGTTGATCACGTTTTAGTCATTGGTTTGTAACTTCTGGTTCATGGAACCTAGTGTGTTTGTAGATCATAAGCAAGGGACTATGAAAGTTAAGAAAGGCAATCTGATGTTATTAGATTTAAGTTCCCAATACAGGGATCTCTATATTCAGTGGAAAACAGGGGACTAGTGTTTGGGAAAGTCTGAAAATTACTACTTGGATGTAGCTATGGTTACCTAAAAATGCTTCCTTCCAAAGACTGAAGGGCAAACCTAACCTAAAGGTGTGAGAACAATGCTAAGAGTTGTTACTTTAGTACAAAGACTAAAATTCTGCATGTGATCCAACAGAAATCTGTCTGTTTGGGTAACACTGTGCTTCACAATGTCAGCTTGAGTGAAAGGGCAGAACTGGGTATTGAGAGAATGCCATTTTTTAATAAATGTAATAGATAAGAACAACAGCAATTAGAATACCCATGTGACTTACTCTTCTTTAACCCTGTCAACTGTTAACAGTGAAAAGTGGTTTGAGTTTTATTTTGGCATGGGTGTTTTTTTTAATGTGTAAGCAATAAAGCTAGTCTTAGGAGAGGGATTTAGCTAGCACAATTAGCTAGTTTTGCCCCCAAGATGGGGTAGTTTTAAAAGACCTTATTGTGCTATGAGATAAAAGGTTTGTGAGATATAATTAGCAGGAAAGGGCTGACTGCACAGTTGCAAATGAAAGATATTTCTGACAATACATTAAAGTTGTTGAAACTTGGCATGTACAATTTGCTTGCTCAGAAGTCCTGTCATCCAATTATACGTTCAGCAGATTGGCAACTGTGCATAAGCCCACAATCTCCAGTTACATATACAGCATCTTTCTGTGGAAAATACTCTGGCTTTTTAGCCAAGAACTTTGATGAAAAGTAAATGTAATTTTTAAAACAGTCTGTTACTTTAGAAAAGTGCACTGCAGTATAAGTGAGTTTGAATCCATTTCAGTGTCAGCTATATCAGCATGGACCATGTTGTAAAGTAAGTCACCACTGATTTAAGTCACCATATACTACAATTTACATTGTATAAATGCTTTTTACAGGGTTCTTCAACCTCAACAGTTGCAGGGGCTAGATCCAGGTTTGTGGTACCTGCCAACTTACCTCTGACTACCCAAGCAAACAAAAGAGTTACACATGACAGTCACAGACATAAAGTAGGGCTTGCCCTTTTCCCTGCTATTGAAAACAGCAACATCCTGTAAGAGGTCTTTTAATGTTTCAGGACAGAGCACAGGCTCTGCCCATGTTTTTCTAGTTTGCCAACCGTTTGAAGATGTTAGTTCTCATCACAGACCCCCTGCCAATCATAGAAGAAATAATACACTAAAGATGGACATGCAGAATTTACAGTAAAAAAACATCCTACCTATTTCTTCTTCAAGACAGATAAAGGAATCATTAGACAGCTCTGCTTCTGCTAAGATGTTCAGGAGAGTCTCTGGTGGTGTTTGTTTCCACTGCTTCCTGCTTTCTGGGATGTCTTCAGGCAGAATAGCATGGTCAGCTGAAGAACAGAAAAGTTCTCAGGTCACTAAAGCATGACTGTAGGTTGGCACTGTCTTTTGTCAGATTCAGACTTTCTAGTCTTGACATGGATTTCTTCCTTTTTTTAATCCTGGAACCTATATATTTTTTCCCTTTATGAAAAAAAAAATTGCTGAATTTTTTATAAGTACTTGATCTGATCGATATTGTAGAGAAAAAATAGTTTGGACAATGTCTAACTCCAGTTTTAATGCTTAAGTAACTGTTTATTAAGCCTAGAATAGACAAGTGCAGTTTCATCAAGCAGTCCTTGCTCTGAAACTTATTGGCTTCTTGGGGCTGAAAAAGCTTCAAAGAAGTTCTTGTTTCTTTTGTGCCCTGTGATCTTTCATCTAAGGCAGAATGAACAAAAGTTGGTGTGTTCATAATATTCTGCTTTGTCTTCACTTTGCATGCAAACTCTTTAGGTTATTTTTTACGTATCTGGGGAGTTTGGATCATGCTGGAAGGCTAGAAGAGCTCCTTGTTTGCAGCAACTAGTCACTGGAGATATCTATCTGCCTGCGAATATATGCACTGGTACCGTAAGAAGCTTAGCGATTAGCCTCTTCTGAAATGGTGTGTCACTGCAGCCACCCCTGGGTGAGCCTGCACTTGTGCCTGGGTAGCACCACTGCTGTGTGCAGGGCGGAAACAGAACTCCACTACACTATGGGTTATGAGTTCACAACTCACTGCCCTAGTTCTTGTGTGTCATCAGCTCAAGGCCCGAGAGTTGATTAGTTGCATAGACTGGCATTTTTAGCCGTTGTTACCCAGGCCACAGAGTAATTCATAAAATGCACCCTTAATATGTAAAAGCAACACAGCATGATTACAATGATAGAGGGGAAAATAATGACGGTATTCTGTGGCTTAACATGTACAATAACCTCTGTTATTATGAAGTCCTGCAACTAAAAGCATGCCAGATCATGTGAACATTCAGGTGTGGATGAGTTCAATCTTGCTGAATTTTAGAAGCTCACTACTTTCACTGAAAGCCAAAACTTTCTTACCAAGTTCATCCTCAGCCATAGTAGGACATAGAGATGTGACATCAGCATCAGCTAAAAAATTCAGTAGTGTCTGAGGGGCTCCAGTTTGCCAATGTTTCCTGGTTTTTTTTGTATCATCTATGTCATTAGACTCTTAAGGGTAAGAAAAAGAGGAGGCAAAGTTATTTCATTTTTTTTAAGTAGATTTCAAGGTGATTAAAATAGTATGTGACATAAAGAGAGAGTTCATCAGATAAACTTGCTATAGCCTGGAGTTACTGAATTTACCTAACTCCTATGTAATTTTCATTACATTTGAGTACTAATACTCAGCATTGCATTTCCCCAAGAAATACCTGTTTGGTATCCAGACAGTTCTTCCAAAGCTCTGTCTATATGATTTTCATGAACTTCCACCAATTTCTCCTTAAGATTCTCACCATCCACAAAACTTGAAGTCTCACTGAGTTTATCTAGTATCTGCAAAAAGCAATAGGTTACTCTGGAAACAGAACACAAATATGGTACAACAACTAATCACTCCTCATTTTACTGTGTTTGCCAGACAACCTCATATATGCACAGGAAAATTGTGTAACAAAAAGTGAAGCAGCAGAACTCAAAAGTCACCTTGTGATTTGGGTATCAGAGGGCTGCATGGGGCTCTGCAGAGATGTGAAAAAACAGAATGACAAAATAGTGCTTTATAAATTAAAATATAGATACTAGAAATATCATATATTTTCTATGTTACCATTAGAAATATTTTTTTAAAATTTAATATACTAATACAAAATTAGTAGGTAGCTATTACACGATGATCAGCCACAAATGTCATTCTAATAAATGAAATCACATAAATGTTGTCTGTAGTCTCTCTCATACTTTTTATAAATAACAGCTGGTTCATATCAATGTTATTCTTGCTTTGTGATACAATACTAGTAAAAAGAAACAGAAATGTTCCAAAACAACTTACAAATCAAATTCAGCATTTGCAGACTAACTCAATTTTGAGATAATTTCTTCTTCTCAAGCTCAATTTATGAAATATAAATACTTGCAATCCTTCATCTTTAACCATGATTGAGCCAGATATCACCCAATTTTCTTCCAAGCAATTATCCTCTTGAAGAAGTTCAGATATATGCAACATGTCAACAAATCCTCAACAGGAAGTTTATATATATGCTTGTATATATATATTGTTATAACGATAGCAAAGGTAGAGGATGATGGTAATGGAAACAAATCTTAGATTGTGGAGCTGCCATGGTTTCAGATAACTAATGTAAATTCTTTGCATATAATTACACTGTACCTCTGCTTCTTGAATGCTGTCTTCTTCAGGAACACAAACATCTAAATTAATTTCAAACTTTACTCCTCCCTAAAGAAAATTCACGTCATTAATTTAGTTTATTAAATAAAAACATATAATTAAAAGTACACCATTTATATGGAACTACAAATTTGAAAATTATTCTTCTACTGAAAATAACATTTATTCAATAATATTTTCCTTCTATTTAACAAGATCAAAGTTGAACAAATTGGTCGAAAATAGACTTCCTTAAATATAGATTATCTTATTTTAGTGATATTTTGAAATGATTGCATCCAGTTTTGATTTGAAGGAAGAGTGTCTTTGATGATAATTTCATTCACATCCTTGCATTACACAGACGTGGTTCTTACAGCTGGTTCTCAACCAGTGCTAGAAGTTGAGTACTGTACTGCTTCCATGCAATATTTCACAAAAGACCTTTAGTCCACTTCACAATGATCTTACGGTCAGAAACCTTCCTGATATCTTATGTGCATTTCCACTCAATTCCTTTCTTTCTCCTTCTATAATTTAAAAAGCACTATAGAGAAAAATCTTATATAACAAAATGTTAGAAATTAGCAGCCTGACTTGACTTCACTTAAACTTTTAATAAACATGAGTTCCCATGCACTACTAATACACTTTGATATAAAAAGGAGTAGGTAGGGATTGATTACTATGTAGGAATATCTAAACAGAGTCTCCCTCAAATGGTCAGAAAAGCTCATTTATTTTCTTAGTGATTCTGTCTTCTCATATAAACTTTTAACAAACTGTAGACCAGCACTCTCAATTGACTCTCAAATAACTTGATTTCCAGAACTACTATAATAATACAATAATTTGAAATGCACAGACCTAAGAAGAAAATGGAAAAAGGAATAACAATAAGGATGGATACCTTTCTGTTATGTTTTTTTTCTAAGATTTTTTGGTATTGCTTATGCTGGACTCGGACTTGTTCAAAGTTTTCTTCCATGTCCTGGAAGGAAAGAAAAAAACTCCAGTTTAAAATACACTCTTTGTAACCAGAATATGTGTATACCCTGTAAAGAAAGAGACATTTAAGTAACAAATATAGTCATTAATCTGCTTGTATATATATCTGTAAGAATATTCCATTCATTGCCAATTCTGACTTATCTGGCAAAATGAAAAATAGAAAATCTTGAAAAAAGTGCAAACCTCTGATTTTTCAAAAACCTATGTTTGAAAGATACAGTACCATGTCAAGAAAATAAATAATACATCTTTTATTTTTTTTATGATCACATGCAAAATGACTCAGGGTCATTTCATTCTGGAAGACTTTGGAAGTTATGAAAATCAAGATTTTAGTGGAAACCTATGCCTATAGAAAGTATAGTCATGTTTCATAATATCTTGTTTTCTGGTAACATCTTAAATACATTTAATGACTCCTTTTAATATTCTTATGTCTTCTGTTAGGACACTCAGATAAAAGCAAAGTAAATAATAGTATACAGCTCCTTCAGCACTCTGTGGTGATTAGTGTATGTCTTCAACCTCAGGCAAAATCACAATAGATTTTACTTTTTAAAAAATCTATGCAGTTTCTCCAGTAGATAGAGAGCCCAGAAAATAAAGTGACATCAAGCAGGTCCAAAATTTGATGTTTCTTTTTCATTATCATGCATTTCCCCTTAAATCCCTTGGAATATAATTTCTCCCCTAACATGACTCTAGCTGCCTAAAACCCACTTCATCTCATCCAGTGGTACAAATTCATTTTAGTAAAAGTCAGATCCAGGATCATTGAATAGGATCCTACTAATATTGGCAGGTTCGGCTGAAGTTCCAGTTGCAATAAGGTAGTAATGTCTGTCACTGGCTAATGTATTCTAGCATAAAAAAGAAAAAAAGTAAATATGACTGCCTGTATGTTTGAGCTTTGTTACCTGGAGTATTCGGGCTCTAAATCTGAATTCTTTTATATGGCTGTGGTATTCTTCACGAATTTTCTGCAGTTGTTTCAGGTACTCCTATTAAAGAACAGTACAGTAGAATACATATGTATTACAAATACATTAAAAAAATAACAGTAGCTAAACAAAATATTCTATCAAATTGTATATACAAGAAAAAAAGGGATCGGTGTGCCCTTTATTGACAATTTTACAGAATGCTTGATACTTTCTGTTAGAGGACATTTTGGGGTTAAAACACATCCAGACTCTAACCTTTAAGCTTTCCAGACTCTTATGCTTTTCTATAGAATTTTGTCTAAACCAGCTAAGAATAACCCAAGGACTGTCTGAGTACAGATGTGAAGGTTGCAATCCAAATATAGAGGACTAGAAATTATGAAGACAAAAAATTATGTAATATTTGTTGTATGGCAATTTGCTACCTATAACAAAACAAATTCTGGTAATCTTTTCTTGAAGTACCTTCAACATTCCTATGCTTTGAAGCAAAAACTTCAATTTTGGCTAAAATATAATTTTTTCTGTTAAGGACACCTCTGTTATTGTTTATACCCCAATTTGCCTACATTACAAATGGACAAATCTGTAAAATATTTTTTTTTCATATTTAGTACATATAGTACATATTTAGTACGTTGTGGAACTAAACGGTAACAGTTTCTGGAGAATGTGTAAATGATGAGTATGTTCTAAAGTCTGACCATTATGTAAAAGTTAATATATTCATATTTATTCTGACATTTTTTAATAAATCAAAGACAGAAAGATTAAATTTATTTACATATGCTCACATAAGAAAGAAGTATCAGTTTGTTTTCTCTGTCACCCAAAAGCAAAACTACAAAAGTATGTTGTTTCTCTATAAAAAGATGGGAAAAGAATGGAAAAGAATCAATTATGGAAAAGAGAATCTGATGAAAAAGAATAAATTAATATGCAAAGATTACTACTATTAAGGAGTGTAAGAAGACAGCTTGAAGCGGCTAAGGAAAAGGTTACATTTACCTGTTCTTTCATTTCATTCTTTCTAGATATGTCCTGCTGATGGTTTTTCAGATCCTCTTCCTTTATTTTCTGCTGCCGTATTTGGTCATGACATGGGTCAGCAGAGGATGGTCGCAGCCCCTGTGGATGTACAAATAAATCCCAGAGAAAAGGAATTGTCATTTAGAATCCTCTCCTTCAGTGCTCACTCAGTGCACTCTCCCTGTTGCACTGAAGAACACAGTAAGGCAAGTGTACATTTTTAGAGGAAAAAGTTACAGTAGAATTTTACATTGTTACAGTTTCGTATTAGAAAATAAAACCTCAAGATGAGCATTGCAGAGCAGAGCAGGGAATTTGCTAGAGCAAAACCTTCTACCTGTCAGAGTTAGTTTGATATTAGACATCAGTTCATCTTTGGATTTTCATTCACTTCCTTTTACAGATTTTATTCTGTGATTCAGTATTTACTTACCAGCTGTTTTTCCGCTTTAATCTTGTACTGTTGAGCTTCAAAACGCCTTTGAAGAAATTCTGCAGTCCTGAGAGAAGAAAGTGATGTTCATATACAAATTTTATTTCACAGACTCTGCTATCTTCTGCACAAGTAATTCTCTGTATGTTCTATCACATATGACAAACAAAGCTCTCTTTGTACTGCATGAATATATAAATATGGATAAAATACATGTAAATATGGCGCAACAGTAAAATGAAACATATACTCTTCAGGCATGCCCCTTCCTATTACTTCAGCTACATTAGCCTTCTGAAGAGTGCAGCAAAGTCCTTCACCACCTTTTATTTGTTAAATGGCATATCAAAGTGTTAATGAAAATAAAACTGATTTCCGTGATCCCCAAAATGAGTGAAAACTGTCAGAATGGAGGTTGTGTATTCAGCCACCTTTTTATTGTCTTTCTCCCCTGTGCCTAATTCTATCAGTCTAACTGTATTTGTGTAGTTTCTAAACTTTTACTTTGTTTTTTGATATAATCATCAGTCACTTGTAAGTTCCCTGTTTTCTATTTAAATTTTCTTGTGCCACAGGGAGCCAAACTGAATTGACTTTGTCCTTAAATAAGGCACCAGAAACTCAGGTCAGAAAAGATGTTCTAAAACTGATGATCCCTAACTGAAACATTCTAAACACTGCCGACATTGAATGAAAATTAATGATTCAGTCAACCTTAAAGGAAAGCTTTGAAAGTAGGCTGTATTAAAAGTCCCTCCTCAAGGTTTTCAAAGTTCATCCACACCTAAAATGGCCAGTCACAGAATGAACAGGCAATCTCCTAAGTAATGAAAAGGTTATATCTCTACTTTGTAAGAGAAAGACTTTGAAGTAAACAATCTGCTGGAGAAAGGGTCTTTATATCTGATCCTTCCCCTGTACTCTGCATTGGTGAGGCCACACCTTGAGTATTGTGTTCAGCTCTGGGCCCCTCAGTTCAGGAAGGACATTGAGGTGCTGGAGCGGGTCCAGAAAAGAGCAACGAGGCTGGTGAAGGGACTTGAGCACAAGTCCTACGAGGAGAGGCTGAGGGAGCTGGGGTTGTTTAGTCTGGAGAAGAGAAGGCTTAGAGGCGACCTCATCACTCTCTTCAACTACCTGAAGGGAGGTTATAGCCAGGCGGGGGTTGGTCTCTTCTCCCGGGCAACCAACAATAGGACAAGGGGACATGGGCTCAAGCTCTGCCAGGGGAGGTTTAGGTTAGATGTTAGGAAAAAATTCTTTACAGAGAGGGTTATCAGACATTGGAACGGCCTACCCAGAGAGGTGGTGGATTCACCATCCCTGGAGGTTTTTAAAAAGAGATTGGACGTGGCCCTTAGTGCCATGATATAGTAATTGGAGTTGGATCAGGGGTTGGACTTGATGATCTTGGAGGTCTCTTCCAACCCTACCTATTCTATGATTCTATGATTCTATGAAACAGAAATATAAGCTCTGCAGGAAAAAAAAATAATAATTTTCATGGCCTGCCTCTCACTCCTGTTCCTCCAGTGCAGAACTTTTAATCTTTATATAGTTCTGATCCTGGTGTGAAGGAATGACAGTGTTTATGCTTGATCTGATCAGAAAGTCTACAAAAATCCTGTGTTTTGCTTCTTACCCAATAAAAGACTGGGCTGAGATTCGGGACACATTTTGACAGTGAAATGTCAAACATCAGGACAAGACATTCAGAAGGAATTTCTGAACAAACAGGAACAGGAATTCTATTGTTGTGTAACAAACTTAAATAAAAAAGAAAAATCAAAGACGAAGCAGAGAAGGAAGTCTACTAAATGAGCTATGTCCAGTGTTACCTACTCAGGAAGGCTGATAGGTCAGAATATGCATGACAGTTCACCACTTATAAATGGAGTGAAAATTACCAGTCAGGGGGTGGTGGTGCAGGTGCAGCTTGTCCTTTTAGTTTATAGTATTCTTCAACTCTTTGGCTGATATGAGAAAGGTCATCATGTGCATTAGCTTTCCTCTGTAAGTTGTCAAGCTTCTCATAGTAATGACCATAATGGCCACATACTCTGATACTTTCTGGCCTTTCTGCCACATTAAATCTGGAGGTCTGTGGCTGAAAATACAATAAATTATGTTAATTTACCTGTTCTCATTTGTAACAGTACAAGTTTGAATTCAATTCCTGTCCTCCCCAGTCTGAGCTGCATGGTAATATAGGCTGTCTACAGTACAGTTAGTGTAAGTTTTCCAAATCCTTTCACATATAACCCAGAAACTTCCTAACTCCTAAGAGTTTATGTAATCTTGTCTTTTCCTTTTTCCCTGTTCCATCAGCTCCTCTCATTAAGCAGCAGCCCAAATCATTGTGCAAATCAATCAGCATGGGGCTTTGTACTCCGTATACTCTGTAGTGTCATTGTCCTAGAGTTAGTTCATTGTTCTGAAGCCTAAAGCGCTGAATTATTTCCAAGAGAGTCTCTTTTTGACATGCGGTAGCCAGGGAAACCTGGAATATAGTTTTGGGCAGTATATGCATTGATTGCTGCTTTCAGAGGAGCACTGTGCTACTTCATTTCACATCTCTTTGATTATGTGCCTGCGGGAGTTTGGCTTTCATTTCTCCAAGTCCTTACTGTGATGAAACATCCCTGTATTTCTCCTTTGCTACAAGACTGTCGTTTCCATTTCTTATAAGGACAATGGAGAGAAGACCATTGTCTAGCTGCCACTGCATGATATAAGTGTGGTCAGACATCCACAGTTTTTTCCATGGTGGGAGACTATACAGTGCACGAGAAAAACGCTGCATTTTGCTTACTTTCTTCCATAAATGTAAAAGCATCTAAGTATCTGTTCCATAGATGGTAAATGCTTTAACTATTCCTCCCTGTTTTCCTTCTTAGAAACACTGAGAATAGGCTTATGTACCTATAGTCTAGTCCAGATTACAGTAAAATATAAATTCATATCTGTATAAGAAGAAAATTTTCAACTGTCAATAAAGTTGCCAAGGAAGAGGCAACCTCAAAAAGTGTTTATTGTGTTCCTCATTGAAAGAAGTTTTACAGTATGGTATCCAGAAGTATGGTAATCCCAAGCAAATCAGGCCATCTGAATGAATGTCAGAGTATCAAGAACTGTGACTAGTGAAGCAGACACCAGGAAGTCATGCTTGACCAACTCAGTAACATTCTACAGTCAAATGACTGGCTTGATAGCAAATGGGAGAGCAGTGGGTATTTCCTACCAGGCAACTGCCTTCAGGGAAGCTTTTGACACTGTCTGCATAAGGTCCTCATAGAGAAGCTGATGAAGTATGGTCTAGATGGGTAGGCAGTGAAACTTACTGAAAACCAGCTGAATCCCCATGTCAGGAGGGTGGTGATCAAGGTATGAAGCCCAGTTGAAGGCCAGTAATCAGCAGTACACCCCAGAGGTAGGTCCAATCCTATCCAACATATTCACTATCGATTTGGATTATGGGGATATTGGGGCAGAGTGCACCTTCAGCAAGTTTGCTGATAACACCAAACTGGGAGGAGTGGCTGATACACTAGAGGGTTGTGCTGCCGTCCAGAGAGACCACAACTGGCTAGAGAAATGGGATGACAGAAACTTCATGGAGTTCAACAATGGAAAGTGGTAAGTCCCACACTATGCACCAGTACGTGCTTGGGAGCCACCCAGCTGGGAAGCAGCTTAGCAGAAAAGAACCTGGGGGGCCTGGTGGGCACCAAGTGGACCATGAGCTAACAATGTGCCCCTGCTACAAAGAAGGTAAATGATATCCTGGTTTGTATTACACAAAGTATTCCCAGCAGGTGATCTCTCCCTTCTACTCAGCACTGGAGAGGCCACACCTGGAGTGCTGTGTCTAATTCTGAGCTCTTCGGTATAAGAGAGACAGGGACATATTAGAAGTCCAATGAAGGGTCACAAAGATGATTAAGGGACTGGAGCATTTCTCCTATGAGGAAAGGCTGAAAGGCTCAGACTCTTAAGCCTGGAGAAGGTTCAGGTGAGATCTTACCAAAGTTTATAGATACCTGAAGGGAGGGTGCAAAGAGGATGGAGCCAAGGTCTTTCCACTGGTACCCAGAGACAGAAACAGAGGCAATGGGCACAAACTGCAACACAGGAGGTTCCCTCTGAACATTCAGAAAACATTTTTTCATTGTGAGGGATGACTGAGCACTGGCACAGGTTGCCCAGAGAGGTTGTGAATCTCCATCTTTCTTGAAATTCAAAAGCTATCTGGACATGGTCCTGTACAACTGGATCTGGATGACCCTGCTTGAGCAGGGGTATAGACAAGGTGATGTCCATAAGTCCTTTCCAATCTCAACTATTCTGTGATTCTGTGAATCCTGAAGCAATGCATTCAAAGGTATGACACTATGCAAGCACCCCTGCAATCGCAAACTTTTTGCTTCATGTGGATGTCGAAAGAATGTGGGGACATTCCCAGTGCAGGTGAACTGTGAAAGAAATTCTGCCTTTGATTACAGCACTGCACAGTGAAAGGAAACTTAAACTTTCTAACTTAATCCATCTCTGGATTCTAATTGGATATGCACAAATGTAACTATGAGGAAAACTAAATCCTATATTCTGCACAGGGCCAGTATTATCCATAGGTAGCGTAAGTGATTGCATGACGGATGCAATCCTGGGAACTCCATGTTCCCTGTTGTCAGTTAAGCTACTGTAACTACAACGTGCAGATCTGGGAGCTCCCAGATCCTAAAAGTGCTTTGCTTATGTTCACCATCACCCAAGGCAGTACTACATGCTCTTGAAGATAAACATAACAGTGTGAAGTGATTCCAAGTAAGAAACTGGACAAAGCATACAGCTGATATCCTGTCTGAGGAAAGAAGGAGGTGTAAAACAAGTGAGAGACAAAAGTGGTTGTGAAAAAGTGGGGCTTGGATGTGGGAGAAGGCTGTCATTAATAAGTATCTGAGCTAAGTGCAGTGAGTGCTAGTGGTTTTGCCCAAGAATGGGTTCTCAGAAGGACAGAAGGAATAGGATCAGTGTATTTGCTTCTACAAAAAAACTGCAATTACAGATATTACTTGCCTTTGTGCAAACATAAATGCAAAGCACGCCCAACTCCTTTTGTTACAAAGGACCATACCAAAGCAGCCTACATTCAGTGTTTCCTACTTAGGCTTTCAAAAACACCTCTTTTGAGGCTTTAGGAGCAATGAACTGTCTCTACTGACTTCGAGTAGGCACTGAACTAAATTTAATACATTTTAATGAAGCCATTTAAAGGCTAAGAGCAGGCATTTGCCTTCTGAAGATGATTATATATTATAGTAATGTGGAGGCATTTCAGTACCTGAAAAATAAGCTGTTGCCCTCTTGAAGGGGGTTTCCATTCATTTCTTCGAAATAATTCTTGTTTCTTGACATGCATCACCATTCCAGATTCCAGAGAGACTTGGTCCTGAATTCTTGTTTTTTGAAGTTTATATGCTTTTTAACAGTAAGAGATTAAAGTTACATTCTGTGCTCTCTACGTGATTAATGATCACGTGGTTTCAAACCATAGCAAGGTGTCTACGCCTAACGGTGACAGGTTGGGCCAACAAACACTCCTTACATCCTTTCATCATCATCACCACCATCACCATACTTCACACTTCCTAGGCGTTCTGCTTTTCATTCTTAGAATGACATGCTTTTGAAAACATGATTGACATTCACATAAAGTGGATCTTACTGATTAGTTTTGCAAAACACACTGAATAAAAGGGAGACCTCTATGAACTAGAGTGCTGATTTCATGCTAGTACCAAGAACGAAAACAGGAGATCTGATTCATAGGCTCAGTTTTCATTGGAGGTCAGGTCTACCTTCTTAGGCATTCCCTTCCTAAACCTAGCCCTCGGTACCCCAAAAATCACTAGGTAATGTTGTAGTACTCGTGAAGTTTGAAAAGGGCTGAAAAGTGAAAAATCTACATCATGAGTTCCCTGTGTAGGAGAATACAAGTACATACCATTCCTCTTTGGTCAGTCAGTATTTTGCAAGTATCTTAGCTGCAATAATGAAAAGTGATGACCTTTATAGGATTAAGTAGTTTCTAAGTGAGTTTAAAATCTTTCCTGAGTACTGACTGTGAGAGGATAAAATATACGAAAAGTACGAGCATATGACTGTAGATATTTTTTAAAATGCTTAAGTTATTTAGGTGTTCAGGTATTTCTGTCCAAATTGCATTGGTCCTGCAGGCAGATAAATTTCATTGAAAGTCATTTCCAAAACAGCATAGGTTCCTACACTACTGAAGAACATTTTCTGGGGAGGAAAAAAAGTCCATAGCATAGTTAAGTAACTACATAGGTTTATTTGCTCAAATTTGTTTAAAACGCTTTAATACTTCTAAAGATAAACTGAAGGAATAATTGTGATATACCAAAGAATATAGAATTAGGAAAATGTTACACTGGCAGAAGCATTCCACATCTTCAACAGTTCATACAGACTTACCATTTAGTCTCATTCATGTTTTCTAAGAAAGTGAATACATAATCTGTTCTATCAATGAATACTAAATCCAATATAGTTCATTGTCTCTCATCATTTAATATAATTAATAATATTTTATAAAATACATTTTTATTATTTTGTAAAATACCATGGAGCATGTTTTGCAAGATTGTTGGTTTTTTTTTTTCCACATAGCTTGGCAAAATTAAGTAAGGTTGTTTTTCATGTGATGGACTGCATCTAAGACCAAAGGCTCTCAGTTTTGGAAATTCTCTTCTTAAAAGAACTAAGACTAATGTTTTCTATGGCAGCTTTTCTAGCTGCATGTTGCTGATGAGCTGGTCTTTTCCTGAAAAGAGCTGTCTTTTATTGAACAGGAGAGCAATGCACTGTCTGGGTGAACCGTTCTGCTGTTGCATTCCTCTCCTCTCTTTACTTTTAACTTTGTGTGAAAACCTTGTATCCAAATCTGCAATAAAGATTGCTGGAGAAAGTTACAGCCATCACTTGTATCATAACTAACAAATGTTACTGTAGAACAGTATTATTGTCATTACCTTGTATCCGCCTGGCTCCAGATTGTGGTGCTTTCTTATGTATCACAGTGTGACTGAGTTCTTCCTGTGTCATCTATCAGAAAAAAGGTATCTGACAGAACTGTTTATAATACTTTGATACATATTTTCTCTCAGCAAGCAGCAGTACAGGCACTTACCTCAGGGGGCAAATACTTGAGAACAAGTTTCTGCAAGAAGGGCTTCCTTAGAATAGAATTGATGGATGGTCGATCTCTTGGCGATATTTTAAACAACTGGGAAATTAATATCCTCAGATCATAAGAATAGTTGGGAGACACTGGGTGAAAACGTCCTCTGCAAATCTTCAGCACCAGCTCATGCAAACTATTGCCTTCAAACTTAATCAATGAAAGCAATAAAAAGAGGACAGTAAGTACTGCTGGTTGGCAATGATGAACTAGACACCCCAACTTGAAAAAAGGTACTTGCTGACATAATCAGAGAACCATAGAATGCTTTGGGTTGGAAGGTACCTCACAGATTGTCTAGTTCCAATCCCTGCCATGGGCAGGGACACCTTCCACTAGACCAGCTTGCTCAAAGTCCCATCCAACTGGGCCTTGAACACTTCCAGGGATGGGGCACCCACAACTTCTCTAAGTGACCTGTTCCAGTGTCTCACCACCCTCACAGTAAAGAATTTCTTCCTAATATCTATATTTACCCTCTTTTTCTTTAAAGCCATTTGCCCTTGTCCTGTCAGTAAATGGCCTTGTAAAAAGTCCATTCCCACCTCTCTTGTAGCCTCCTTTAGCTATTGGAAGGCTGCTCTAAGTCTCCCCAGAGCCTTCTCTTCTCCAGGCTGAACAGCCTCAACTCTCTCAGTCTGTCTTCATAGGAAAGATGTCCCAGCCTTCTGATCATACTCGTGGGTCTCCTCTGGACTCATTCCAAAAGGTCTACATCCTCCTTATGTTGGAGGCTCCAGAGCTGGATGCAGTACTCCAGGTGGGGTCTAACAAGAGTGGAGTAGAGGGGGAGAACTCCTATGCTATGCAATCCCTTCACAAATTCTTTCTTACTAACCACAGTTTGCTGCAGAAAATTAATATAACCACTTTGATTGTATTTTCTGGTAATGTTCTCCCTGTTTCAGCTGCACAACTGTAGCAGCCAGCATGAGAAACAAGAAGCAAAAGGCCTGAGAAAAGTCTAAGATGACCTTGTTTTGTTTTCTTTAGGCTGTGATTTACTGCCCAGAAACAAGCTCAGTTATTGTTTGCATTCTTGCCATATGTGGGTGTAAAAAGGAGTTACCTGGAGCTCCAGGTTTTGTGTGTGTGGTGTGTCTGTATGTGATAGGCAGCCTGCAAGAGTGATGGATGTGTGGCTTGCAGCTGTGCTGTCTTGGTTTGCTTAACCATTCCCAGCTAAAAGTGAATGATATAAAAACCCTGGTCATGGAAGAATAAAGCTGATTTCTGCCCATCAAGTCAGGAGTTCATGTAATATTCCATTCTGTCTGATACACAACTTAAAATATCCAATAGATTTTGTACCCGTAAGAGTTTTATTTGTACTCTGCCATCATACAGTAACGCAGAAGCAATTTTTCCAGAATGAAACGATTTATTTTGCCAAAAGTTGTTCACAGAGACCTACCTACATATTGTCTTCACATTGTTCACCTTCAAAACTTCACACAATAGCTTCTCAGGAACAAAGACACAACCCTAATTTTTTTACAACTGATGCCAATCAGATAAATAAGTCCCCTCAGTTCATTAGATCACTTAAAAGGCCAGTATCAATACAATTTCTAGGGGCTTAGACAGGCAAAAAAAATTTTGAAAGCAAATTCTTCCTAAAATTACCATTTTATTTACATGGCTATTTTGAAGGTGGTGTGACCAAAAATTGCCTTAGCTTCACTTGCATTTCCCATCTACATCTGCATTGAGTCCCTGCCTTCACACTGAAAAAGTGGGCAGCAATACAGAATAAAATGCCTAATATTTATACGAAGTAACATTAATGTTTTCTCACTTTGTGAAATCTGAAATTTTCCTTAGCAGTATCCCCCTTGCTCTTAGCTCAGCACAACTGCTCTCCCTATCAGTGCTGCTCTACCTTCTCCCAAATACAAGCTCAGCAAAAGATCAACTTCTGATGGGCCCAGGAAACTGATGCTTTTTCTCATCAAGAATTGCCAAGATTAGTTTCTGCTGTGTTCCCTTCTTCACATAATACTCACAATCTGAGGATTGTCTGAGGCTTAGATCAGGATGAGGACAACACAAAACCTTTAGGAAAATACTTCTGCGGACTCAAACTGCTTTCTGGAGAAATGTGAGTTTCAAATTCTTTAGTAAGTATAGATTGATATTTTCAAATACAAATGAGTAAAATTATATGGCTAACCCTAACCTTGAAGTCTGGCTTTAATTCTTTCCACTGTTCATCTGCCTTTTGAAAAAGTTTAGTACTTTTTAAAGAGTAAATATATGTTCAAAGTGTGTACACACACATATATATATGTAAGTTACAGGAATACAGCATAGTACATTTTATTCTGCACAAAACAGACACAATATGAAAAAATAAACACCAGCAGTCATTTTTTAAAGATCAATAAATAAGCTGAAAATACTTCTATTAGCTGACTATGAATACTATTATTACTATAGTTTTTCCAAGCTGTCCACTATATTTTTAAATAATATGATAATGATCTGATCGCACAGTACTTACAGGATGCTTTAGTGCGCATAGCTCATAAAGCACACAGCCAAGAGACCAAATATCTCTGTGAATAAAAAGTAATTAAAGTTTCAGTGAAAAGTCTATAATATTTTCATACATGAAATCAGTACCTCTTTTCAACTGTCAAATTTATTATTATTGCTTTTTTTTCTTAAGATGCATGAAAAAGAACAGCTAGAAATTTCTTTTTAGTTGTGGCACCAATGTTTCTATGATACCTAACTAGGTATTATAATTGTAATTGGAAAAACAACATGACAAAGACTGTCTGCTTAATATTTCTAGCAGCATGAAGGACAAAGCTGACTTGATAGTTAAGGAGACAACAAGGGAGTACATTTGTATGAATACCACCTCAGAGCTGAGATGTTAGTCTGGGCTCCAGAGCATTTGGTGTTCATCACATCCCCCACATGGAAGGGGGTCTAGGCCACTCAGCTCCTGACTTCATAGTGCTTCTCATCTGGTATTTTGTGTTAAGCCTGAGTGAGCCTTTGCAATTCTCAGACCTATATGTATTTTCTGGAGGTAGCTGCTGCAAATTTCCAAAATAGGCAACCTAGCAGCTTTCATTTTAGTATATTTTTATAAATGATAAATGAGCGTATCAAAAATTCATAAACTTGGAACTGGAAAGAATCATTGGTAATCGCATGTTGGAAATAAGAGAGAAATTTAGTATTTGATGGAGAAGCTGATAAAGCTAAGGGGAAAAGAAATCTGTTTTACATTTACCACCACTACTAACAAGAAGTATTAAAAGAGAGCGAAAAGTACAAGTAATTTTATAAAAACAAAACATATAATTATGTTAAGCCTGTAGATTAATCACGGCAAAGTCATGATGGCATTCTGGACACTTGTGAGTCAAAATACTACTGACCTTGTTGTATACTATAACATAGTTGTTATCTGCAATGATGCACCTAATTATTGTACACAAATAATATAAAACTTCACAACAGGTGACGTGAAATTCCTAGTGCCCTGCACAAATACTGATTCAAACCATGGTATCACTAAAATTAATTCTTTCATGCCTGCACACCCTCATGAACAAGCATATGAAGGAAAGACAGAGACTTACGTTTTGTTGTTATATGGTCGATTTTCACAGATCTCAGGTGACAGGTAATAGGGGGTCCCTACACATGTATGGGCAAACTCCATAGTACTAATGAAACATAATGAACAAAAAGGAGCACTTACACAATGAAAAAGTTTACAAGTAATTTAACTAGAGGTTTCTCTGTCCCAGGTTAAAAGCCTATGGAGTACATTATTCCTGCTCTCCAAATAGTTGAACAAAGGAATACCTCATGAAAAACTACAATATTTCCCAGTTCTGTATAAAAATGACCCACTATTCTAACAGTGTTTGTACTTCAACGGAAAGCACAAGAATTCCATGTCCTTATCTTAACCTATGAGCCTTTCATTATATTTTCTCTCTTCTCTCCAGTCGAGGAGGAGAGTGACACCAGACCTGGTGTCAACTCACTACAGAAACTTAATTTGCTAGTTACATGAGGAAAATGACTATCAGGCTCTAATTATATGGTTCTATAAGGCTACTAAATAATTTTTTAAATGTCTGTACTTGGACATTCAAATTCTGAGGTTTACTTCCTATCTGCTATGTACCATTCTGCTGTGTAGGTGCAATCCTTAAAGCAATTATCTCCAGAACACTTGTGAAGGTAGGTACTTTCTGCACAACTAGTTTACATGCTGAGAGTAGGTCTGGGCTCCACAAAGGAACACACCACAAAGGTATGAGAGCTGGCAGACACTGCAGCTAGAATAGCAAGATGGCATATCCCTGGAGATGAGCAGGCTTCGATCAAGGTACAAACCAAACATGCTTAATCCAATGTACTCCAACTCTTCAGCAAGAATTCCTAGCTCTGATGCACCACTGAGCTTGCAAGGTTATGTAGGCCCAAATCCAAAGCCAAGCTGATGGGGCCTTAACAGAAGTTCCATGGGCTCTATGCCCATGTGAAGAATGCACACAAGCACCTCATATATGTAACATGGTTTAAGTACATCTGAAGAGAAGAATCAAAATAACTATGTTGGATAAAGTTCTTGGTTCTCTTTACTGATGTTGTATAGACAGAAATGTGGCTAAACTTACACTGAATTAATCTAGGATTAGGAAAAATTTTTAACAAGTGAGGTGCAGCAGGTAAACTACAAAGCAACTGAGAAGAACTGACAGTAGAAGGACAAACTGAAAAATGATCAACAGACGAAATTACCTTTCCATGCAATACCTCGTTAAATTGTGGACCTTCTTTGCCACAATATCCTCCCAAAGATAAGTCAAGCACAAAAAGAGATCAAATTTAAGCATTTTCCTCTTGTTAGTATGATCCCTGGTATGTTTTGGCCACACCTGGCTGTAGCAATGGATGTTTGGAAAGAGTCCTGCCAAAGGTGGACTGATGAATCAGAAGTTTTTAATGTTGTTTAAACTCATGTTAAGAGGGGTCTTTACAGAGCCACTGCGTTTTCCCCTATACCTCCACTGTAAATCCCTTATCTCTCGGGCCAGAGTGTCCTGGGAAGATGTCCCAAGGTGTTCCCATTGGTCCCTTGTCAACCCCTTCCTTATTGGCTGTAAACCCCTTACCTTGATTGTGACCCCTCACCTGTGATTGGTCCCCAAAGGCTATATAAGCCCCCTCCCACAATTAAACTTCCTCTTTCGTCCTCTCTCCCCCGGGTGTCTGGTGAGTGCTCCGTCTTGGGGTCACCCGGCCATGTGGCGGGGGGAGGGTGGAAGGGCATACTCCTTCCAGGTTATGAACTGAAACGAGGCCTGAAGGATCTCCCCCATCCCAAATATCTACCGTTACCTGGCCACTACATAGGATAGGTCAACCTTGTCCATAAAGTCAATAAAGATAAGGCTGCTCTTGTTGGGAGAACACAGATTAGCCATACAGATGCAAGCCATGCCATGCCTTGCTCTCAGGCCCAGAAGGTGGTTCTGGGTGTTTTTTAAAAATCAGTATAGGCTCAGTCCTGGAGGAAACACAAAGAAAATCTGTACAAACTCTCTTCTTACACTTTTTCTTTAGTTTTTAATGCTCTTCATTTTGGTTAAATGAAGCAACAGTAGTTATTATCCACAGCTGCACAAGCAGGAACTGTGCCTCCAGAATCTCTTTATGTCAGTTCCACAGAGAATAGGGAAAGATTGTGGCTTCTCCTATGCCTAACAGAAGTCTAGTTACTAGGCAAGACACATCTGTGGTTCCATGCAGGATGGCGTGTTTTAGGATAAAAGGTTAAAAAAAGCAGTGTCAGACCCCTTGTATCTCAGAGCTCTTGAACAAGACAATCCACAAACAATTTGCACATTCAGGTTGCATTCTGAACATTCACAAACAGTCCTGTTTGGTGTAGGTCACAGACTAATTAAAAATGGTGCTTACCTGTTTAACTGTCTTGCTATGCCAAAGTCCCCAAGCTTTGCTACCTTTCCATTATTGCTAAGAAAAATGTTCTGCAAATAAAAACAAAACTGGTGTGTGAAAATGAAACATGGTTTTTTAAGCACATTTTTCACAGGACAAAATAACCCCCTGTCCAGTACCAGTTTTACTACCTGTGCTTTAACATCTCTGTGTAAGATCTTCTTATCATGAATATGCTTCAGACCCAAGGAGATCTGCACAAACCAACTGAGAATCTGCAAGGAAAGTTAAAGGAAACAGATACCTATGAATTTGTGTGATTCTAATGTCCAATGGGGTATTTTACTGAAATATATAAAATAAAGACTACAACAAAATCTAAAATATGTAAACCACATGCAATGTAAAATAGTAAAAAAAGTATTTTTAAAATTAATGCAATAGACTTTTCCTTTCCAATTAGTTCTATCACAAAACTAAATGGTTAGATACGTGCTCCACTTTCCTTATCCCCATCCAGTTTTCACTGACTGTGACAGGATATGTACTTGAATGATGGCTGAAAAATCATGTCAAATGACAGTAAGAATATTAGACCTTTATTTAGAAATGAGGGATTTCAAATAACAACTAAGACAGAATTGGAAAGTGTCTTCTTAATCCTCAGTGATGGAAATCATACCACCCAATTATAATACTTGCAGTACTACTAAAGGTAGTGCAGGAAAAAAAAAAGGTGAGGGTCTAAAATGTGGTGAGAGAAGGGAGCTATGAAGAAACTTGCATAGTAAGTAAGCACACAGGTTTATCCTTTATCCTTGACCCAGTACAGCTTTTAAACACGTATTTAGCTTCATATATATGTGTCTTCTTAAATAACAGCCTTTGTACTTAATCCAGAAACAAAAGTACAACGTGCTTTTATGCAACCCTGTTTAGGAAAATTCATGGATGTGAAAGGCTTTGATTCAAGTAATAATCTTCTATTTATTAATGCTTTATATTAAGTAGATTATTTCCTGAATAGGGCTGGTGCCACAAATTAGACTTTCTTAGGCCTACATTTGAAAATATAAAGATATTTTAATAATGTTACGTTAAATGGGGTAATTTGCTCTCCTTTCTTGATTGGCAGTTGAATCTTTAGTTTCTATAATCCATTCTTTTGTCTGTATTTCCTTTTCCTTTCTTTCAATACGTGTTATTCTGTGTCATTGTCAAGGGATTTGTGTGTGTTGGCTCTTTCGTGTTTTCATGATCTGTGGGTTTGTCCTCTCTTTATTTTCTTTCATGTTCTCTCTAGTATGACTCCCAATAGGATCTTAAAATTCTTTATTACTGAACCTATAATTCACTTTCAACTGAATTCTACACTAAGGAGTTCCTCTTTTCCTACTAATGCAAAAAGAAAAGTCACAATACTTTTTTTTTCCTTCAGTTCTATGCTTTAGAGTATATTTCCACTAACAGGTTGGATACTATCTGTCTGGTTTCTAAGCAAGATTTCATTGTACCTGCAAAAGATTATGCATGATTAAATAATCACGCAGTTCAGTACACTAATTCCTTACATAAGAGAAAATTTCCTTCAGAAAGCTAAGAGTCAGCAGAAAAATAAAGGAATAAGTAAGGAATAGTGGGAAATCCTATTTCTGTGAATTGCAATACTTATCATACTCACCTCTTTACAAAATAAAATATACGTGAACATGGTTCAAAAGCAGCCAGATATATGGACTTGTTTCTCTGTCCTGGTTTAACAATTTAAATGGCATCAGAGAAATCTTGACCCAGATGAAATAAATTAGAGATTTACTGTGGATTTCAGTATAAAGCAGGATATGCCTTGATGGCCAGTAGCATCAACAAATTAAGAATTTGTATATAATATATACACCCTAATTCTAAAACAGTATTTAAAAGAAAGTCTTTATGGCTTAATAGGTATACTACCAATATAATAAAATCTACATCCATGATGGAAGGAGCAGTGGGAGTAAGGAGGGAGGAAAAATGTCATCGTACTGCTAATTAATTAATTTCAGATCTTAAAGCAGTGTTAAAAACAAACTCTTACACTCCTACTAAAATTACCAAAGTTTCTTTAAAAGTTCAATCATTTTAACAGGCCAGAAAAGAAACAGTAGCTAGTACTGGATAAATAAAACCACATGTTTTACATATTATGTCCTTTCCTCTAATGATAACTTCTTTCACCTGGTCCTCATCAAACAGCACTCCATGCTGCATATTTATCCGCTTCATTAAATCTCCACCATCACAGTATTCCATCATAATATATAGCTTGTTCTTTTCTGAAAGGAAAAGTATGATTTTTCCTTTATTCCTTTATTTATTCATTACACAGCAATAAACTATAGTTATTTTATATGGTCTTTCTCTCAAAAGGTAGTAGTTAAACTCTACCTACTCTATTTCAAAGAGAAACTGAAAAAAAATTGGATATTTCCAAGTGAAACCTGATGCAAAACTAAGGCATGAAAATATATTTATATGAAGATTCACCAAAATATTAAATACATGAGAAAACCCTCAAGAGACCCCACTGATAGAAAGAGAGATGTCCTTACAGGATGTACTTAGCAGAATGCTTCATAGTTGAGGTCTTTTCCCAAAAAAGATTAGTACAGCATTATGAGCTGTAATTGGATCACTGAAAAGACTGCTATAATAAGGTTTGAAATACCAATGTTGCTTTTACATTCCAGATGATGAAAGATATTTTCAGGTTTACTAATAACTTGCATTACTATTTAATGGTCTCTTTTTGTGCCTGCCCGTTTTGTCTGTGTGTGTATTTATATGCATACACATGTATGTATATTAGTATATATACGTATGTAGGATGTATGTATCATATTCATATAATGTCATATGTATATGATGTGGATAAACAAAATATGAGGAACATAAGTTTGGATCTGATTAAATGATCATTCTATTTCTTGCCTATTTGATCAGTGTATTCCTTGCTGTACTCAAAAACTCTCTTCATCTATTGAAACACCCAGGAAGTTTCATTAATCTGTGGACTCCTATAGGAGATCAAGACTTAAGTTCAACTTATGCAGTACAGGCACCACAGGATCTGCGATTCATGCCACAGTACCCACTCACACACATGAAGAGGGCAACTGATGACTGGGACTTTTAGGAATTGGGACTTGTCAGCACTTTTAAGTAAGGGCTTAGAGACAGGGCTACGGTTGGTCAATATTAACAAAGCAGGTTTTCTGCCTTCCACTCCTTTAATCACAAGTAAAACAGAAGAGTTAAAAGTAAACCTTGCAATGAAGCATAGAAGGTTACAATATTTGCGTGCTTCATCTTGGCCAGAAGAATGACTTCTTTCTGAGAGGCTTCTTTTTCTTTCACAGGCATCTACAAAGAATTAAGAAACTATATGCTAGCAATCATATATTTAACTCTTTTCAGAAATTTTTACATCATTATAAAACTATTCCCACAAATACAAAAATACTGTGTACCAAGGTGATACAGAAATATCTAAATATCTAAATATGATCTATATATAATGTAAAATATAAATTTGCAGTGTATGCTTGGAAATATATTAGAACATTACTGAAGTCAAAACAAATTATGAGATTTTACAAACAAGCAAATGTATACCTGTGGTGGTTTGGGCTAGGCCTTCCTTGGTGACCAGTTTGTAACCAAGGAAGGGTCCAGATTTACCCAGTATTCCCTACGATTTTTACGTAAGCCAGACTATAAGAAGAGAGGAGGAGAGGCCTTCGCTCTCTTTCCTTCCGGCGGCTTGGAGGTGCAGGTTCCCTGCTGTTGAGTCTGCCGTGTTGGGGAGCGAGGCCTGGTTAGGCCTTGCCGACCTTGGGAGACAGAGGTTGCCGGCGATCGTTCCGGAGCGACTCTCGGTTGTCCCAGGAGAATAGTGAGATATCTTCTTTGCTAACTCTTTTGTTCTTTAGTTACTAGATCTCGGGCTACTGATTGGGATATATATGTATATATATATATTTTATTTTAGTTTTGTTCCTTTTTCCCTTCCCCTTTCCCTTTCCCTTGTGAAATTGTATATAAGTGTAAATATATTTATATATATCAGTTTGGTTGTCCTCTCTCTCGTTTTCGGGTTTTTCTTAGTTTTTTCTCCCTCTTCTCCCTGAGGTTTTTTTGTTGGGGGGGGGACTTCTGGTGGTAAGGTTTGGAGACTTGGCAGGGAGCCAGCTTCAAACCATATCAATACCTTAAACCTTTTTACACAAATGCTATCGATAAGGTAGCTGACGAGTAGAGTTAAACTCTAATGTTAAACTTCCCTTAAGTATTTGAAGTACATGGGTCTTGATGATTCTCTATTCCTACTACAGAGGATCGCGAAAGAATAAAGTGAAAAGGGACAAAAGGCCTTCCTTTTAGTGGTGTTACAAGTTCTTGCGATATTTTGGGCAAACTCTTTGCCCTGTTACATTGAATGAACACTTCTATTTGGTTCATTGTGATCACATTTTCATCAATACTACTTCTTAAAAAATAATTTATCTGAGTATCTATCCTGTTGCGGACGACGGGAAAAGTATCACACGATCCCAGTATTGATCATGACTAATCCAACTTTATTGCTGTAAGCTTCATGCTTATAAAGATTAATAATTAGCCTCATACATATTCCAAGCATAAGCTCATCAATTACCTAATTACCTAAGTTATATTTGCGCAAATGCTGCTTCTTTCTCATGGCTATAGTTACTTTATTTGCTACTTTGCTACTTTCTCTACCTTTCCCATCCTGTTGCTCTAATTTTTCTATCACGTATGCAACTTCATAGACAATGCAGCTTCACATCAGACAATGCAGCTTCACAGTTTCTTAGACAATGCAGTTTCACAAACACAGTGAACAGTGACCTTCTGATAGCTTTTCCTTTAGCGTGAGACCAGAGCTATAGAATCTCTCTCGTGTCCTCTTTCTACTAACCAAGTTTCTGCAATGTCTTCCACACTATCCATCAAAATATTTTCTTGTATTTATAAAAAGGAACTTATCCTCATTCTTAGCAAATATTTTTGAAATGTAATCCTCAAAGATTCAAAAATAATAAAGTGAATAAAACACATCCTACCATATAAAAAACTTTAGGACTTCAAAGTAGTAAATTTCTTTATCCAGCTCCTGATTTTTGAACAAGTGGGATCCACAGTAATATTTCATTAGCTGCCATTTTTCTATTTTGTGAACATCAAAATCTAAGACTGGAAATGCATGGGATTTATTGGTCAAGAGAATAGAGAGAAACTGTTTTTGCATTTAGCTGTCATTACTAGCATATCAGTTTTTCTGGGTTTGAATCTGGAAGTTATACAGCTCTTTCATTCTTCTACTATAATTCTGAATATATTAAAAATTCACTAATGTGGCCTAGAATAACAAAAGGCTGGTCAAAGCATGTAAGCACTCATTGAAATTGACTGTTATAACTCAGGGATTTTAATTGCCTTTCTGGAACTAGATATAGCAGTGTTCCTCTGATACCTGAGCAAGTGGCCCTAAGCTGCCTCTGCAGTCAACGGGAAGAGAGAGAGCAGTTTTATGGCCCAGTGTAGCTCTTTCTTAAACAGAGGTCTAAAACACACATAATCAACAGCTTCCTAAAAGTACCTATTTCTCTTGTTCTCCTGGAAAGGGAGTCTAGCTCAGATGCTGACAACAACAGAACGGAAATTTAAAATTAGATGAATCAAACTGCCATAAACACAAATGAGAATTGGAAAGGCACTGTTGTGAATTACTTATGTCTGAAAATAAGCATGTGGAAAAAAAGGAAATTAAAAAGCTTAGAGAAATGTATCACAAAATTGTCATTTGTTATTTCAGTGGCAATATTTTCATTGTAGTTGAATCAACAAACATAACATTTGCATTTGTCAGTGTTACACAAGTAGGTAAAGTTTTGAAAAGAACAAAATTGCAGTAAAAAGTAAAGAATATTGAAATGCATATTTTGTTTATGCTTGTAAAATACTAAATTAGCTAAGACTACAGTCTTTGGAAAGTTTAGCTCTATACAATTGAGATGGAACTACAAAGGAGATAAAAAATAACCCAAGTTCACATCCTAGCTAAATGCAAGTAGCATAATCCAGTAAATATAAATCCCAGTTTTTTGTTTTACCTTAGTTAAATTGATCTCTTTGATAACACATGGCTCATTATCCATTTTTCCTTTTGCCAAGAATATTTTGCCAAAAGATCCTTCTCCAATTTTTTTAATTATTTCATAATTATCCATGATGTCTTCAACTTAAAACAGTGGCTAAAATAAAAAGTGCCCAAATTAGTATTGTATATAGTCAGTGCTGCAACATCTGAGGTGGTGCTATTGAAAGAGATACTACCATTTAAGACTGCCATTTTTATAATTTTTTATTATGTTTTATCACACTTTTATTACTGCTACTGCTTCTCCCTACAAATATCATCCCCTGGAATTATGCAAATTATTGCAGATCTGAACTTCCGATAACCAGCAAGTTTATGAGTGTCTTATAAAGAAAATCCTAGTACACCCTAAAGGTAATACATGAGAAGGCAGTAGAGACTACTATGTAAGATTAAGATATAATTTCGGAAAGTGTGACTCATTATCTCTTGAAGTTAACAATACTGTGGAATTATTCTTTTAATGGAAAAAATAGCTTTAATCTATTTCATGTTGATTTAGTTTATACTAATGTGATCTAATATTAGCAACGAAGTGAAAAGCCACTGCATTTTGCAGGAGACCACGGCCAAGTGCAGTTGGGCATTAGCAGTCATCTGGAAACATCTGTCAGGAACAGCAGTGTCACTGGGTACCTTGCAATGGTTCCATAAGCATACTTGCACACATAAATACGAGCAAGCACACATAAATACGAGCAAACACTACAAAACTGTTCTTACTAGTTGCCCTGAGTTTTAGCAAGGGAGATTTGTTCAGATACCAGACATTGCCTGCCAGGCAGGCCAAGGAAGCTCTGCAACAGGCTCCCTTGGGAGCCCGCATGGGCTGCATCACTGGCAGTCAGTCACCAAAGACCACTCTGGCAGTGCAAGTAGAGCGACCTTCGGGCATTTATAATTTCGACGTTTGGGTAAAAGCCAGCTCCCGTTTGCAGTCACAAGTGAGACGCGACCACTCGGGACAGATGAGCCTCTCGCCCCGGCGTGCCGAGCTGCCCCCGGGCAGGGGTGCGCTGCCCGCTAGGCTCAGCCTCGCATCCACAGGCGACACCCCCGCCCCCCGCTGCCCGGGGAGGGCAGCTTCGTGGCCGGGGCGCTGGGGAAGGGAGAGCAGCAGGACCTACACCGACTCACGGGTGGTGCTCTACAGCCCTGCCCGGGCCGGGGCAGAGGATGGCGCCAGCATTCCCGCCGGGGCACCGCTCTCCACCGCCCTTCCCGCCCCGGCTGTCCTGCCGTCCCCATGGCGACGGGACGCGCCGGGGGACAGCCCTTGCCCGTGCCTCCCTCCCCAGCAGACCTGCTAGGCCTAGCCCAGCCCGGCCCGGCCGGCCCCAGCTTCGGCAGCCGCCGTGGGCGCTGCGGGGGTCGCGATACCTTAGTGCCCTCAGCCGCTGCAGGAACTCACCAAAATTCACCGCAGGGCCGGGAGGGGAGGAGGAGGAGCCGCCCCCGCCTCCGCGCCCCCGCCGGAGGTGTGGCGTTTGCAGCGTCCTTCGGGAGCAACTGGAGTCACTATGTCACTTATGCAAACCGCTTTCTCCGCCTACGGCAAGAGACTTTTGATTTGGGTGGTCAGTAACAGGAGTGGCCCGAAAGTAAATCTCGACTGCCTCAAGTTGTTGAATCCTTGGTGGAAACTCAAGTACCAGCCTACGAGCAAGAGAGGAGGTGCAATAGGAACTGGCTCCGTACCAAATCTACCGATTTCCTAAAGCTTTCTTTGGGTATTATTCTCCAATATTATTTGTTACGTGGACATTGTCTGGGACGGCCCCAGGAGAACTCTGCTGAGAGCATTTGTGCTCTTCTCTGCCACACTTGTCTTGTAAAGCGTCTCATACCCAGTAGCCGGCACAGAGCCCAAACACAACATTGCCCATAGCACTCTCTGAAGTAGAAGTTGGAAAATTTGTCCTTATTTATGAACAAATTTGCTTCCTTTCACACATGCAATGGCATATAAAAAACCCTTTTCATTGAATTAAGGCAAAAGTTTAGTCTCAAGAGTTTTCAGAGCACTAATTGCATGAACTAAAGCCTCAAATGTTTAGCATAGCTGTTTCCCATAACAGGCCCTTCAGATAACATCACTTTTACTATGTAAGTATTGGGTTTGTGTGTCCGCAGGGAGGAACTACAGGGGTGGCTTCTGCAAGAAGCTTCCCCCATGTCTGACAGAGCCAATTCCAGCTGGCTTCAACACAGACCCATCGATGTCCCTGTCAGTGTTTTCCTCTCTCCCCTCCTTTAATCTATTGATGCGGAGGCACTACCACCATAGCTGCTGGGCTCAGCGTTGACTACTGAAGTGAAATTGAGTCTGGGAAGAAGGGAGGGGTGGGAGGAAGGTGTTCTAAGATTTGGGTTTATTTCTCATTACTCTGCTCTGATTTGATTGGTAATAAATTAAACTGATTTCCTCAAGTCACGTTTGTTCTGGCCATGACGTTAATTGGTGAGTGATCTCTCCCTGTCCTTATCACCACCCATGAGCCTTTCAATTAATTTTCTCTTCCCTATCCAGCTGAGGAGGAGAGTAACAGAGCGGCCTTGGTGGGCACCTGGTATCCAGCCAGGGTCAACTCAACACAAAGCTGTTAATTCAGTATGTAGTCAGGAAGAATACCTTTACACCTTCTCATAGTGTTACACCATCTCTTTAAAATATGACAAGAGGGCAATTTGAACAATGCTATCATTTGACTGATCAATTCTGCAAAGCTATTACCAACTCCAAATACCTTTAATATCTGGACTTGTTTAGTTATTTGCAAATGTTCTATCTGAAAAGGTTTGTTGTGCATTTTGCATGCTCAGTTTTGTGATACAGAAAACATGCCCACTCGGAATTTGACTGAAATGATTTAATTAATAACCAATTATTAACAACTATTTTGATTATAAAGACCAGCACACCCAACTTCACTTATCATGAGTAAATTCAAGTTTTTAGTCACTGTGTTTCAATGCCATTTTCAGTTCCGACATCCAGTCTGGGTCGTCTTCCTCAAAGTCCCTAAAAATAGATTTCAAAGTGTTATTTTGCAAAGCAAAATACAACTTTATAAATCTTTGCCTTTTTTTTCCCCATGAAAAAACTACCCAATAACTAGGATAAATTATGTTAAAAATATCAGCGCAAGAGACATATTTCCTGCACCGTTGTGATTTAGGAACCAAAAGATGTTCTCTTTGGAATTTAGTAAAGTAAGTTTTATCAAAAGCAAAACCAAATTCATATACTAAGAGACTGAAAATGTGTTGATATTGACAGCCTGCAACTGAACTACAGCAATACATGCCTAAGCAGTTCATCTGCTTAGGCATGTTCATCTGACATAAATTGAGACTCTGAGAATCCAAGAACTACCCCCAAAACATACACACATCTGTAAAACACAGTATTTTTGTTCAAATGTGTTGATTTTTCACTCCGCTCTTTCAAAAACACCAAGTGGGTCACTAACATAATCACAACATAGAATTTAAAACGTTTCTATAAATATGTCTCTATAAGTAGGTTCCAAAGAGATTTTATTGCATGACACATGAAAATTTAGGAAGAATAATATACAAATGCAGCAAACATACCACTAGGCAAGTGGTTTTGCCACTGGTTATCAGATTTCAAGGTCAGAGTACAAAGATTTTCATACAAGAAGGTTTTGCACTTTACTATGGATCTAACTTCAGCTCAGGCTTTCATTTTTTTCAAAGTCATCAGCAAATTATTAGCGTATTTGCTAACAACAAGCATCCTGTTTAATCTTCAGACCATCAGTAACTATAAATATAGCAAATAAAATCTGTAAGATAGCAAATGCTACTAAATTTCATTATGTAGGAGAGAGGTGGACTTCAATGCTGAGAATAAAACTTCTTTTTTCAGGGGAACGTTGTTTTGGGAAAATCACTTTGAGGAACCAAAGAAAACAAAAATACAAGGGTATCATTTAGACATACGTGTCATCCTCATCAGATCTAGGCTCAAGTCTCTCAGAATCTATGACAACATCTTCATGTTCACCATCTACTTCATCAGATGCTTCAGTTTCATCAGAAAGTGGACCTCTTAATATATTTTCAGAAGCTTTGAAAAAGTGAAAATTAAAATGTCACCAAAATATTTTAATTTTAAAAATAAACCTAATAAAAATATTAATACAATGTAGTCTTTCTAATTTGTCCCCACTTTGTAGTAGATTCCAGGTGAAGTTGTTACCTATTGTAAATGCAGAACAAATATTTGTGGCTGTGCACATCTCCAAGCTGCATCTGTCTTCAGCTGTACCATTTTACCATCCTGCCCTCAAAACAGGGCATTGCTGACTTAGTGGAAGTGGATTTACCTGATGGGGCTGCAGCGTGTTTATTGCATCCCCCTAACACATACACCAGGCCACTCAGCAGGATGGAGGACACTTGGCTCTACAGCATCTGCATTTTAGTCACAACATCATTCAGCTGTTGAGCTGCAAGTTAAAGTCCATCATAAAGAGCTGTAATGGAGATGTACAATCACTCATGAATTCTAATCCTGGCTTTTTGTAAATCCACATCTCGTTTCATAAACTTAAAAAAACCCCACCCAACCTGCTGTGATATGAATTCAAGTGCACAATCTCTATATATGGGGGCTATGTATGAAAAAAAATAAAAAGGGAAAAGTCTTTATTAATAAACATGTTTGTATAAATGTTTGCCCACAAACTGGGGATTTACCTGGCTTATAAATTGTGTATGTTTTAAATGCTAGGCTGACATCTGCATTAGTGAGAATGTTCATCAGAGTCCGAGGAGTTTCCTTGTTCCATTGCTTACGTGGCTTTTTTTCACAGTAGTTTATAACACCACCACCTGGGTAGAAAATATTCATAAATACTACTTAGCTAAAATGGCATTAGCAGTGTGGATTACACTGAAGATCACATTCAAGAGACAAACAAAGGAAGAAGAGAGTCTAGGTATTTCCATCTGTAGCACCACTGACCTTTCAAAAAACTAAGGTTGACACTGTCAGCATTAAAAGGACAGCAAGTTACAGAAAGGTCACAGTGGAACTTTTTGCTGACAGGGAGCTAGCAGAAAAAGGCTGAGGGGTGTGAGGAGTCAGAGTCTCTGCAAGCTTATGTGGTGGCTCTATGAATCTCACAAAATGGAGCCTGAGGCCATTTTTGTGCCTTTTTATAGCAGAGCACCTAAATACACGCGTTCTTCTGTCCTTTTCCCTTGTTGTGCATATAATTATCATGTAACATTCCTACCACAGCTGGGGAGTTTTCTGACTACTTATATTTTGACTATTTATTTCCACAGCATTTATTCACAGTTCCTTACAATACATATCTATAATCACATTAAATAATTATAACAATTGCATAAGTGAGGGGCATTTTAAAATTGAAACATTTTTCAGAAGAAATCTCATGTTAAGTGTTTTAATTAAAAGCTGTAGATGTGAAAGAAAAATCTCTGCCTCACATGTGAGGTACATAATTGATAGTTATTGTCATTGACCTTATCTGGATGTTAATGACAACAGCAGTAGAGGTACAGATGTTTTATGCTTGCAATAGTATCGTGCAGTTGAAAGATGGGCAGTTCCATTCTGCATCAAATGAATTTCTCATTGTTACCTCCATGAACATCATGTTAAAAGGAGAATTGTAGGGTAATTTCTTAGTCATGATTATAATTTTAGGGTTGCTAGCATTATCTGTGGTTTTCATCGCTCTTTGCAATTCTCCTGTCACACAAAACCACAAAGAAATTCTCTTCAGCACAGTGGACTTTTTGGTTGTTAATAAAATATTTTAAAATTAATTTTACATCACTTTAAACATGTCCTGTAAAATTTTGGCCTTTAAACTCTATAAAGAATCATTGATATTACTTGAACTAAAACCACATTTAATCAATTCTTACTTTCAGTCTCTTCAGGTGTAAAACTGGAAGAAAGCAAGGAGGCATTTTCCAGGACATCCAGTACAGTATTGGATATCCTTTCTTCCCATTGCCTTCTGTGGACAGGTGACAAATCAATATCTCCTGCAAGGAAAGCAGATGTTTCCAATGTAATTGTAACAAAAAAAGGACGATAACAAGCATCTAACTTGATTCTCTGTCCAGATTGCCCTGTCCAGGCCAAGTAGTACTAAGAGTACAGCACTTAAGTAGCAGTGATGTTTGATTCTATGGGTACAAATCTGACTTGGTAAGAGCTCCCCATGCATTTACTCTGTTCCAAATGTTTTCAAACAAATTTTTTAATACTTTGGCCAAGATAATTTTTAAAATATTTTTTTTAACATCTCCGAGGAGCAGTATCAATCAATGCAACTGCAGAAGTAACTGGTGGTGGAAAGGTTTTCTACAGCTTCAGGCTTGCTTCTGCTACCTGTTTAAATGGCTGAATCATTGACATATAGGTATCACTACACAGAAGGAAGTGCATCAGCCTTAAAACTGTAAAACTTACCCTCTTGCTCAGACTTCCTTTGTTCCTTTGTGCCTTCACTCAAACCCTCAGTAATATTTTTCCTTTCTAAGGGGCTACGATTGCTACTTTCATCTTCTCTTCGCTTTAAAAAAATAAAACTGCATTAATCATTATCCTTGTTGTGGAGAAAAAACAAGCAGTAATATTAACATAACAGTTTTGCTATAAAATTGCTGGCCTAAAATCTGAAGACCCGAAAACTAAACCACTGACACCATGAAACCAGTTGCAATTGCACAGTATCTATTACTGCACGGCATTTCACACTGCATGCCCTTTTTTGACAGATGATCTCAGTTTTTGAAGCTAAGCACACATGTAGTTACTTGATGCAATTTGTGTTTTGGTTTGGTTTTTTTTACATTTAAGAACAGAAGCAATATAAGGATAAATTATTTATATTCCCAGGGAAAACAAGATGCACCCAAATATTAAACTTCTCAGACTGACAGGCCTATGAAAAGGAAAAAAAATAAGCCCCATGGCAACACATTTTTAAAAATATACCAAGTACAGCTGAGTCAGGCTGTGCTGTAATGTGCCCATAGGCGACATCTTGGCTACCTGTGACTTAATTCTCCTCACCTCAAATCTCACATGGGCCCTAAAACCTGGTGAGAATTATGTTCAGACTAGACTCTTTCCACAGCAGCCTGTTCTCAATGTTCCCCTGAAGCAATGAAAATGCATAAATTTTTGCAGAATCCAAAAACTTAGAAAAACAAGCGTGGATTTTTTTGTTTGGGTTTTTGTTTTGACAGGGATATAAGGAAATGCACATTGGAACTAAACTAAACAAAAAGAGTAGTGAAAAATGCACAGGAAAACTGCAATTTGAACACAGATGACAGCTGATCCAGTAGGCTCATCCATGGTTTAGCATACTAATAATTTTCTATAAGAACTTTTCTATCATATAGAACATTCTTAATTACTAAAATACAAATATTATATTTATATTTGAATACTTACCCTATTTTCTTTCCTATTATTTGAGCTTCCACCAGCCATGACACTACCTGATACATTTAGTAACAGATTGAAGAGTTAACACCTTTAGCAAACATTTGTAGTAAAGTGGCATTCCAGAGGTATGACAGCAATGCTACTGAACCAAGCAATGAAAATTATGTGATAGCTTCTTCACACTTCTATCAACAGAACTCATTCTCAACAGGGAGTCCCTCTACTCTTCAGTTCTAAATGTGTACAAATTTTGGTGTAGCTTAATTTATGCAGAAGAAAAAAATCCAACATTCTCTCTAAAAACTAAATAGTGAACGTAACTTGCTTCACCATATTTTGGGAAGGAAAGAACTCATATTTAAAATACACGCAACAGTTAAAAGTTTTGCTTATTTTAAAATTGAATTATTTCTAGCACAAGTCTTACGCCTAACAATGTATATATTGCAGCTTTGCACTCTACTTACGTTGGAATATAATTTACACCCTTCAAACATTTTCTATATAGCTTCAATAACATTAGATTTTGAAATAATTAAAAGTAGATTTGAACATATAATACTAATGTTTTATAGCTGTTTTAAAGATCTTACATTTCCTAGTCATTTCGTCATTCCCTACATCAACAAAAATGTTGTTCACTTACCCTTTCGTCTTGCTGCACTGCCTTCATGTTTCTTGGTGTCCTTTAATACCTGCTCAAACTCTTTTATCACCTGGAATGCGTATAAAAAGATGGAGGTACTGTACCATTTTTAACTTCCTCAAATTTTATGTTACATTATTTGTTAAAAATAGTCACTATAGAAAACAGCTGCAATATCTAATTTCAGCTGCATAAGGTCAATATTCACCTTTAATTTTCAAAACAAATCCTTTTAAAAACTCAGTTCTCTGAGAAGTCTGCAACTGTATTTATGGCTTTTAGAGTAGGACCTACACAACACATTTTATAGTTATACACTAACAAACTACAAAAGAAAATGATTTAGTACTTAAAATGTAGATACCATTGCTTAAATATAGAGACAAAGAATATACTATACCTCAGAAGGCAAACAATTTTTTATAAGTTTGGTTAAGCAACCTCTTGAAAGAATAGTACTGGCTGATGGACGATCCTGAGGATTTCTCTTAAACATCTGTTTTATTAAGTAATGAAGTTCATAGGAGTAGTGAGATGGTAGTGGATTGTAGGACCCTTTGCATATCTGAAGTATGAGATGTTTCCAGCTATTGGCTTGAAACTGCATTAAAAATAAATGAACATGAGAGCAGAGAGTTTAAGCATAAGGTAAAAAAATGCTGAGATGATTTAAGAGGAGCTTTAATATTTTCTATATAAAAATGCATAGTATGTATTTTTGTAAGCTCCCTTACTACCACCTGATTTAGCTTCCAGTTTGACAGTTTCAGAGGTGTGAAAAAACAACACTAGTAACTTTTCTCTACATTTTGTAGGGCTGTTGCATGGGCATTTAATTATGTCAATAATGACAGAAATTTACTGAGAATGAAAATATCACAGTGATTAAACCAAATCATAATGAACACTGTAAACAATAATCTTTACAACTGGAAAGCAGATGGGAGAGTTGCTCCTAAAAATTTAGGATTAATCAAATTTTATTTTATAGGAATCAAATTCATCATCAGATTTAAACTGCAAGAGTGAAACAGCAAGCTAGGAAATACACAGACTTTGATTTTAAAAAAAAATATCAACAGTAGCCTACAAAGGCACAAATACCCTCTTGCAAATCTAAATGTTTGAGAACTTCTACCTCCACACAGGAAGTTTTCTTTGGGTACACTCTGCAGGCTTGGCTGCAGAGTACCAAGCATCCACAGTGTGTGGCATCACCTCTGATAGACGATGCAAGAACATGTGTGACCATCACACAAAACCAGACACATTTCAATGCTGCTAAAAAGGGAAGAACACTCCACTCCTTTGAACCCCAGCTCTGAGCTCTGCCTGAATAGCCGTGACACTGTCAAAGCCTTGCCACAGACTTACTCAGGCTAACACACACCCCTGCACAGACGCCTTTATTGCTCAGTCAATACACTCTTGCACAGCTAGCAGCTGCAGCTGAGGAGAATCTTTTGCTGATATACAGGATTTGAACAATGCTCTCAGACATATGGTATCATTCTGGGGGCTGTTCTGTGCAGGCCCAGGAGCTGGACTTTGATAAACCTTGTGGGTCCCTTCCAGACAGAATATTCTGTGGTTCTGTGATTTCAAAGTATAGTATTACCTCAACAAAAGGAAACTGTTGCTTACAAAAAACTATGACAAAATCACCTTCAATTAGGATCTCATTTTCTTGCAAAACAAACATATCCTGATGAGGGCTCTTCTGTTACCCATGTGTCTGTATATAGAAGCCAGAGGAAGTTAACACACAAGAAACATAGCATCAAGACCGTAAAAGACAGTGTCCCAGGAATGACAGAACGACAGAACCATACATCAAGGTTCCCACGGTTCCAAGAGGAGGACAGTGCTTTAACAGTGACTTCTTTGATTTGAAGAATAAGCAAAGGTATATCACTGATGCGAGATACAAAACTGCTTATTGCTTTCTACCTTTCACTGTACTTGCACACAATATATTCTCATTAGTAAAGATTTTGAGTGTCTTTGCCTATATCTCCTGTGATCATCTGGATCCTGTAAAATGCAATGCTCACTGCAACATCCCTGCAGATATCTGGAACCTGCCTGGCAACTGCTGGACTCCTTAATAAGTCCCAGATCACTGATATTGAGGAAAGTTAACCAAAAAAAAAAAATTGTTTTCTAACAATTTTGAAAATAGAGTCTTCTAGAGAAGGGTCCAGTAGGTCCCAAGAACTGCTGAAAAACAGAAGGCACATAGTGGAGGAGGTCTGGGAAGGGTGGAGCAATACTTCCCTCTTTTGGAAGCGGCAGCAAACACATCAGTCAAATCTACAGTACAGCTAACTGCTAATTCAGTTTTAAGGAATTCCAAAACTTTTCTGATAGCCATAAAGCTGTACTTACCGGATGTTTTAGAGTGCACAGCTCATATAGAATACACCCCAGAGACCATATATCACTGTAGATATAGAGAAGGATGAGAAATTTTGAGCCAAAAATTACAATTTAATATCCTGCTTCGAAAAAGTGAGATTCAATCTGTGTACATAACTGAATTGAATAAACTAAAAATAAATGTAAGTAACTATAAAAGACAACACAATTATGCATTTTACCTCTCCAGTGGAAATGTTTTTGCTTATTTTATCCTACCCTGATGTAAAAAAAGATGACTGTCATACAGTTGTAGTTGACTTTTTATTCCTAGGATGTCTCTTAAACAATTTGCTGCAACAACAGTTATCCTTCCACCCTTGAAAGCCTTTGTATTCCATGGCCCCTAACATTAGATGGCAGCCACACAATCCTAATTCTGAGAGCTGGAATTCTGGCCCTGCCAATAAGAACTCTCCTACTGAGAAAAAACCCCATCATTTTCCATCAAAAGTGAGTACTGCCACCTGCACAAGAAGCAACTGATACCTTTCTTGCAAGAGGAGCAGAAAAAACCTGAAGTTCTAGAAGGTTTCTTCCCTCCTATGGAAAATCAATTGGACAACTAGGGTCACAGAACAGATCTAGGGGAGGGAACATAATATGGCTTAGTATTTTGGAGTCTGGGAAGAAGCTGTAAAAACGGTACTATCAAGATGCTCTCAGAAGTTCTTGCATTAGGACCAGAATAACTAGGCTCCATAAATCTAAGTAATCAATTTTGTGCCATTATCCCTACATTATGACTAGCATGAAGAGCTTAAAAATATGATGAGTCAAAAAAAAAATAAGACCAGCAAAAGATGTAAACACATACCTATGTATGTGCACAGATAGGTATGTATTTGTGTGTATGTTTGTATGCATATATTTACTCTCCCAAACAAACAGATGTCTCCACAACAGTTTTCAAACTTCTAAGACTAAAGATATTGTGCTCTCAGTTACCTAACTAAAGAGCAATTTCTGCACCTTCATCTTAAAAAGACTGTAATTACCTCCTTCTAAAAACACTTCAGCTCAGTATCTGCTCTAAACCAAATACAGATAAGCCACAAAGCCAGATTGAGACAGCAATAAAAAACCCTACATCAGTCAGGCATTATTTGTGACCACTGAAAACACAGGTACCTTTTGTTGTTGTATGGCATGCTTTCCCATATCTCTGGAGGTACGTAATAAGGAGTTCCCACATATGTGCAAGCGAAGGACATCGGGCTATTGAAACAACAAAGAAGAAACGCCAGGTGGAAAGCCATGATTTAAGAACTCTGTACTGTTTGTCAATGGTAAAATAAAACTTGACACCACTGAGATCAGTGGAGATGTCCACATACTGTGCAAGAAGGTGTGCAGATCCAAAATCTCCCAATTTCACTTTCCCGTTTTGAGTGAGGAAGATGTTCTGCATTTCAAGAGCATAGATTAACATACTGAAATATTCTTCTAAGAATCATTTCTGCAGAAAACATGGTGGCAATCACTTCTAGTATTTTATCTTTATATTTCCTTTTACTTGCTTCTCCTAATACTTCTACCAAAAAAAAAAAGCTAAGAACTATGTCATGCTCTTTGATTCCATGACACAGAACTATGCCCAGGGAAATGGAAAGCTTATATGGGCCTAAAGTCCCAGCATCATTAGCAGAGGAAGAATCACAGCTTAGAATTGCGTTATTCTCTATGCTGTACTCAAACCAATAAGGTCACACTTTCTTCTGAATTTCTCTCTTTCTGATAGGTAAGAGTAACAAAGAAAAAGATGTGAGGCAAGACATTTAAAAACTGCATAATCTATACACATTTTTTATATTTCTGTTACTGTTTTAAACTATATGCAGTCTGTCACAAGCAATTGGTGCTATCAGCAGTTTGGATATGAAGGATATATCTATACTTAGATAATGGTTACGCCTGCAATATTACATCATTCCATGCACTCAACAGTTTCATTTACATGATATTCTTAGGCCTAAATAAAAAACACAGAACTTAGCTGCCACAGGAAATTATGAAAGAGGGAGTTTTACATGCAGAAGAGGTCTTTATGGCAACAAAACTTGCTCTGTTCACCTTGGATTTTATATCCCTGTGCAGCACACGTTTATCGTGAATGTGCTTCACCGCCAGGCACATCTGCACAAACCAGTGAAGGATCTGAAAAAGAGTAACTAGTAGTCGTAACAGCTCAATGCTGTATGTAATGAACACTAATAGATAAAAAAAATTAGCAAAAGAAAAGCATGTTCCAAATATTTGGGAGTTAAAAGTACCTCTAACATAATGGCCTCACATCAGCATGAAAGACTGAATTCAGGATAAATTATATTTTAATAAGGCAGAAGAAATGTTTATTACCTGTGTCTAGAAAGCGGTAATAATACATAACAATGATGAAGGTAGGGAGTTGCTACGTGGCATTTTATCTCATGGTCATTTTATAAGCAAGTTAATTACAGTTTCATAGTAAATTAGCAAATAAAAAAACCCACCCACCAAATAACAAAACAAAACCAAAACCCAGGTGGAAATAACACACAGTTTCTAAAAAGAAATGTGTTCCTTTTAAAGTACAAAAGAAAACTCCTAAAGATGCAAAGATGCATAGAAAATCTAAATATTTGGTTAGTTGAGATTTCTGGTCCTTTCATTTTAACTAACGTGATGCTTCTAACTGTGGCAAGAAGCAGCTTTCATTCACTACAATGTCCCTTTGAACTTTCTTCTAAGTAATTTTATAGCCTCTCTGATAAAAGGAGTTAATACCTGCTGAATACTTTAAACATTTAATTGCTACATAAAATGCAAGTGTTTAGTCTCTTGGCTAGCTTAATTTATCTTGCCAGAGTGCTTTGTTTACTTTTCATTTGTAGTACATCTTACTGTGCTTTAAATTCTGTCTGAAGTTTCTGTAAAATTCTTATTTAATTGCATACAAACCTGACTGGTTTTCCCACTATCTGCACAATTCCCAGATACAGGCAGCAATTCCTTTTTTAATCCTTTCAGTCCAATTCTTCCCTTGTTCTACTGGAAATTATAAAAGAAATAACTTTCCTATTCTATCTGTAAGTGCCTTTGTTTTATTTAAGGTATCTCACGGTGTTTGCGTATCTATAATTTGGTTTATGCAGCATGTTTCAGTCTACATGAAACAGGATTTCTGGCCCCCTGGTTCAAAACAATGTCTTTTCTTACCATATCTTCAGGGAACAAATTTCCTCTTCGGTGTTTAATCTTTTGCATTAGATCTCCATCGTCACAATATTCCATCACTATATACAGATGTCCATCAGCTAAATTTTAGGTAATTTAAGAATAGTTAGTAGTTTCATTTAGCAGAATAAGTACTTTTTTTACTGTAAGTAATACTTTTTACTATAAAGCTCCGACTACATACTACGTGTTATATGTTACAATAAACATGTATTTTGTTTATAACATGTATTGTAAAAAAAAAAAGAAAGTAATCTTGATCCCTGAGGAGCATGCAACTTGAAACAAATGAAGGAATTTAAATTTTTATATTTACCTTCAAATGATTCTTTATAGGCAACGATATTCGGATGTTTCATTTTAGCCAAAAGATCTGCTTCCTTCCTAGAGTTCTCTATACCAGATGAAGACTGAAAATATAAGTACACCTATATAAATGTCACACTAATAAATTTTCACATAGAAACACAACACACTTCACTTTCCAAAAGGAAAATATTTTTAATAATTATTTTTCAGTTATTTTTAAAAGTCATTTAGAAACCTCAAAGCCCTGTCTTTTTAATCTATGGTTTATTACTAGCTGAAGACATCTTTGAGCTTTTTAGGTGTTTGGATTCCAATTTTTTTTTTTTTGAGAGGATATTTTCCTACTTCAATTAATGACTTTTTCTATTTTAAAAGTGCAGAACTATGTGACAAAGCAGCACACACCAACTTTGGAACAGCTGACAGTCTGCATGAACTCTATATAAAGCCAAGAGCCCAAATACTAACTGAGCCTCAGGCTCCAGAAAGCTGGTGTCTCCCATCTAGTGATTTTTTGCTTATCTAGATGCAGAGAAGATAATCCAAATAAGTGATTACCAGCAATAATAATAATTTCCTCATTAGGCATTGCAGGTGAAATCTGCATTCCAGTGAAATCATGGGCATTGGGGAACAGGGATTTCATTGAAAGTGTCTTCCTATGTGCTGGACTTCCCAAAATGTAACCACGCACTTTCTGAATCAGATCAGATTTTCCTACTTTACTTAGTACCAACAAATCAACTCACAGTTATATAGTAACCATACCATGCAACTGTCTAATATACAAAATTTGCAGCAAAAGTGTTCAGCATTTCAAAAACACATCCACAATTATGATTTTTTAAAAATTTTACTTTTTTTTAAGCAGTGGGTGAGGTGGCATATGTGTCACACTTACCATGGGAAGTCTTATTTCCTTCATCGCATACTTTTGGTCACCGATTCCATGATGAACTAGGAGAACTCTGCCAAAGGATCCCTCTCCTAGTACTTTCAACACTTTGTATTCTTCCATTCTTTATAGGCCCAGGCCCAACACATCTCTTCAAAAAAATCCACAAAATAAAAAGAATGACTGATAAACATGGGTACCTACAACTTTCCAGCATTACCATAATACTTCTATGCACTGCTACCATGATTTTACTGAAAATGACGCCTCCAGAAAGTAAAACTCAAAACTTGATACAGCATTATTGCCGCATTTTTTAAATTTCAAACGCTAAAGCTCTTTGAAAATGTAAATTACAAACCTACAATGTTGCATCTTCTTTTTGTTACCTGCGTTCCTGCAGGTGGTTTCATAACACTAAAGAAAACTCACAGGCACAATAACATAAAGAGCTTCAAGCTTCCAGTGACAATTCTCACCTAAAACACCATAAGCAGGATCAAACTGGTAAAAGTTACTGCACATTGACTTCAACAACTGGAAGATACAGAGTATTTTAGTTGGAAGGGACCTGCAATGGTCACCTAGTTCAACTGCATTACCACTTCAGGGGTGACCAAAAGTTAAATCACATTGGTAAGGGGATGGTGCAAATGCCTTTTAAACACTGACAGGCTTGGGGCACTGACCACCTCTCTAAGAAGTCTGTTCCAGTGTTTGACCACCCTCTCAGCAAAGAAATTTCCCTAAAATCCAGTGTAAAGCTCCCCCGGTTCAGTTCTGAGTTGTTCCCAGTTGTCCTATCACTGCATTTAAGCTGTATCACAGAATCGCTGAGGTTGGAAAAGACCTCTGAGATCACCAAGTCCAGCCTTAAGACTGATGACCACCTTGTCAAGCAGACCATGGCATTAAAGTGCCACATGTAGTTATTTCCTGGAGGAATGGTGACTCCACCACTTCCCTGGGAAACTTGTTCAACGTTAAACAACCATTTCCATGAAGAAATTCCTCTTGCTGTCCAACCCAAACCTCCCCTGACACAGTTTGAGGCCATGTCCTCTCGTTCCGGAGAGGACATGGCTATGGAGCTTAATCTCTCAACACCAGAGAGCTTCCACAACTGCTGAAACTCCCACGTTCCCATTTTCTGCTAAAAACACTTCTCAAGTATTTCACACACAGCAGTGACCTATTCTCCTTTTTTCCCCAAACGTTGGTGGTTTTAAATTGGTTATCAGCGTTCCAAGCATCCCTTTATGTATATGCTGTGCACACACTGTTTTAACGGGCTGATGAGTTGTTTTTGAAAAGCATCTCGGGGCTTGTTTCTACAGCTCCTCTAGCCTGAGGAGGAGCAGCCCCAGCCCGCCCCCAGCCCTCAGGCCCGCCGGGTACTCACCTCGGCGGGCCGCAATCCCGCCGGGCGGAGGTCCGAGCACAGGCCCCGGCACAAACCCAGCGCTTGCTCCACAACCTCCCCACGCCGGGATGCGAGCGGAGGATGGGAAGGAGAACGGAGCTGCCTGGGAAGGAACGCCCAGGCCGCGCCTCTGAGGCGGTGCCACAGGCAGAGAGGGCTGTCCCTCGGATCACGCTGAAATACGGAAACACTGCGTGTGATGAGTGTAGAAAATATCAGTGTTCCGCTTTGACACTTCACTTTCAAGAACAGACTACATAGTTTACAGGGTAAAGCCTATAAATAAAGAACAAAAGCAACTCAGTTGATAAGTTTAATGTCTACTGTATTAGAGACTAATGCAAACCAACATTAAAACAGTCACATAGTAAGTAGTGTATCAGACCTCATCTAAGATTACTTGATAATGAACAATGTCAGTAACTAAAGAGATTAAAATGTTTTGTTGAAACACCTCTAAAACTCAATAAAAGTTTAAATTTAGTGTACGCCTTACAAGCTGGCTTCAGTTTTCAAAACTAGATGTTGTAGTAGGCATTGACCTATTAGAATGCCTACATTATTGTTTATTTTCTTAAACTGAAAGGTTCCTATGAATTCCTTAGAGTTCCGCAATTGCAAGAGGAAAAGAGTAGATATTAGCAATATACTACAACATGAAGCTTTACACCTAGTTCTTAGTTTGATATTTAATGAAACATAGTTAAACACAGACATCAATCTAGTACTAAACCAGAACAGATTTATTACAATTTTGAAAAGGCAGAAACTTTAAAAGTTTATTTAGTGACTCAGGCAGTCAAATTTCACCTTAAGCCATACACATGAGTCTTAGATAGCTCCTCTCTCAAAGCTCCTAAAAACAAGTCTCCTTAAAATCAAATCTTTAACCCCTGTATAGCAGTAACACTACTTTTTACTCTTCTATTTCAGCATTTGTTTCTTGGAAGGCATTGCTTTGTTTGTGGATAAATACAGTGGCTTTTGATTCCAATTCTCCCAGCTGTTCAAGTGAAGAGACACATGGATCTTGATCTTTGCCAGTATCAGGCAGCTTGCACATTTTGTCTCGAATGCGTTGAGAATATCGCAAAGGGGTTACAATTTTCAGATCTTTAGCACTGGAGTAATTTGCCTCATGAGACATCTTCACACTTTGAGAAAGAAAAAAAAATAAAAAAATAAAAAAAAATCACTAAACATAGGCACACCATCATACAAGCTACCTTTCTAGCATCTGGCAGAAACAGCAAGTCATGATTCATGTTCAATTCTTTCCCATTCCCACAATCAAAGGAAAGAGGCCCTTTCCCATTCATACAGTTAGAACCAGATACACAACTTTTCTTGGGCAAAATATTTTAACCCAGAGAACCTCCTGAAAACAGTTCCCAAAGGAAGATCCCTCCCTATTCCATCAGGGGCAAATTGTTCTTCCTGATATGAGGGATAGTGGACAGCTGCCAGGTCTCCAGCTTCATCAGATGTCAAAGCTGAGCACAACTTTCCTAAGTCTGCTATCTTAGAAGAAACCTTGTGGTAAAAAAAATAATGTCAATATTATCTAGTTTATACTGAGGTTACTACCCAGGGTTTTGCCTCAAGATAACCACTTCAGGACAGTTACATGTTGTTCAGTATTTCTGTGTTGTATGACATACAATCACATCTGCATTTGAAAAGGAGAGGACTGGAGACACCTACTTTCTCTTTATCTAGCTTAGTGTAGAAGTGCTACTGTGATGTGGGCTGTGGGAGGGCATCCCAAACATGGAATTTATGTCTCTGCCACAAAAGTCTGGTTACTCTGTAGTGAGACATTCACAAAGCAAAACAGTTTGAGTAAATAGAGAAATTTATTTAAAAATACTTCCTTCTGAAGGAAGAGGAAGCAATCCTAAAAATAAAAGTTCTTGAGAGCTTTTAACTAGGTATTCACAAATGCAATGCCTCCCTGTTTCAACAGGACACAAACATTATTGTTTCTCCAGGCACTGCAGACTCTCCATAGTTACCTGAAGTAATCTTACCTTTCCAAGTATGGTGTGGTAGGAGGATTGTATTTCATTGAACAAGATGTGTCATTCCCCTTCTCAGGAGAATTAACTGCTTGGGCTATATCTTTTATCCCATCCTCATGCTGTTCTGTTTCACATTTTCCTTTCTTTTTTGTACGTTCTTTAGCCTTGTGCTTTTTATTCTTTTTTGGTAAGATCTCTCCCCTTGGTTTTAAGTCTAAATCAGTTTCTTCTTTCTGGATAGCTTCACTGCTTGCCTCTGTCTTCTTGTTATCACTCTCTGCTTTTTGGACATCATCAGAGCAGAAATCCTTGAGGGTTTCCTGAACTGGCTCTAGAGATGAATTTGGTTCCTTGCTGACTTCCATTAACTCACTTACATGAGCTTCTATCACAGTTCCCCCTAAAAATAAAATACAGAAGAAAGTACAGCTGTGATTAGTTACAACTAAGGAGAATGTTTTAGAGAGATCTCTGAAATCTTAGAGCTTTACATGAGAATGAAAGTAAGCATTGAGTCTGAGCCACAACAATTTAAGTTACTAATCATTTTAGTCACCTTTGAGAACCTGCAACCTGAAAACTCAGACTAGGTACACATCCTGAGAAGTCATTCTGTTCCTTTCCAAGTGCAGCAGCTCTCAACAAATATTTCAGTTTCTGGGTTCAAATACTTGTCAGGTTATGTTATATTGAATGGGAATATTTATGGCTACTTTACTTCCAAAATTAAAATATTTAGAACCTTTAATTGACACTCTGCCAAAACACAACCATGCTTCTGGTAGTGAAGGAGTTTGTGTCAAAGGGGCATTGATTTCTAGCTCACAAAAATATTTTTATTTACTCTTTGATTATCAGGCTGAAATAGCTTTGATAAAGTTTAAGTAGAAAGTTTGAATACAAGAGCATCTCCAACCATTGTAACATGCCTACTATTGAAAAGTATTTGTTTAGTCAAGATTGTTTTCAAAGACAGTTGAGTACAAAATTATCACAGAAAATTTTCTATGAAATAAAATTTAATATCAACACAAATAGTTTGTGTTCTGTACACAGCTTGTGTTGCCTGTTAAGTCACGCATTTAACTAGAATAGAGTACTCAAACTTACCATTCTCAGACTTAAAAAGACTTTCATTATTTTTCATAGTATCTATTAGTGTGTGTCGTAGTTCTTCTTTAGGCTGAAAAAAAGTTTTACTGTTTTAGAAAAACAAATCCAAAAATAATCATCGTTTCAGCTTATTTGTTTCATGTAATAGTTACAGAGAAAGTGGTACAGACCACATGAGGTTCATCTTAGAAACCCTTTGTTTAGTGCTGTTCAGACATAAGTCAGAAAACAAGTGAATCCTGTATTTTCTGCATTTGGTGCACTAAAGCTGTTATTTGATGCCCTGAAATCTTGCTGATATTAAGGCACAGAAGTGAAATCCATCAATAAGGGTAAAATTAAGTTATATTTTGCATTTCTAATGATACTAGAAGTATCAATCCTAAATTCCTTCTAGGTGGAACATCATATGGCAATTCAATGATCCTAAACCTTTCTTCTTCAAAGTAGTATCTACAGTGGTTACAGAGCAAACTAAATCCATTATTTTAATGTTTAAGTAAGTCACATAGCTCTCCTTCAACCATAAGAGGATTTAATAAAATCAGAAACAGTTGTGTTTTACATGCCATACTTTCATGCCTCACTGTTAATCTCAAACTTCAAGGAAAGCTGCTTACCATTGCTCCTGCCAAAATGGCCTCCTCATATACAGCAATAAGCTTTTCAAGAGGGCCCCTCTGTTCAAGACGCATACAGCAGTTCCAATATTTCGCAAGCTTTTTAACCCCAGGAATGCTCTGTGTGAGATCTTCCAACATGGCACATATTTCATCACCTTGACATCCCTAAAGTCAACACAAAAGTAGAGATTTAAATGCAGTTAACACATTGAGGTCCCATAATTTAGCTGGTTTTGAACTTGAAAGCAAATATTTTTTTCTTTCTTTGGCAGAAGAATTGTTATTCCCCTATTCTTCCAAATAAGATTTATACAGTATTGTAAGTAGAAGGGGTAGTAGAATGTATAGCCATCTTCAGAACTACCTGAAACAGACTTTTTCAGAAGTACAGACAAATTTCTGCAAATGCAAACTTGTTTTAGATTAATTCCTTCTAGCTACTCATTATGTTATAGCTCTTCTACTATTATAGCTCTACTATTATTACCATTGTTGCCTATTCTTATTCGGTAATTCAGTAAATTGGTAAAGCTTAATTTCTTCAGGTGTTGGCAAAAGCTATGACATTGCTTAACTTGGGGAGCAATTAGTCCCCTGCGCCTGATTCACACGGGTCTAAACACACCTACTTGTATGTTGTGGGGACCTGTATGATCAGAACTCAGTAGGCAAGGGTCCAAATACCTGTTCTGTTAACTGCAGGCATTCACTGAGAATCTTGTTGACCTTTTCAATATGTAATATGTGCTTTAAAGCATCAGCAGAAGAGTATTCTTGTTCTTCACTAGTAGTCTGGGGTCCAAGAAGCGCATATGCAGGAGGTCGTCTCATCACCTTTCCTCTAGATGCCCTCCAATCTTCCAGACGAGCTCTGCATTTAAGAATATTGTTAGCTGAAGTGACAGATATTTTATAATTTTTGACATTGACTGACCTTAACTAGTCTAAGTCATTCAAAGATATTCTTTCCGGATAGTTAAACTCTTCTCCCTTTAATCCCAAAAGGAATACAGCTGCCATTTAGAGCTGCATGGAAATTTCAGAACCATGCATATCACTGTCTGCTTTAGGTATCTGTCAGGTCAGAACACTTTAACCTCTTTCTTTCCAGCAGACTTAGGTTACAGACCTTTGTTTTCAAAAGAGGGTAAAAAATGCTTCTGAGTTATTCCTCTGTTTCACTTTTTTTCCCTAATCCCACTTCAAACCAGAAAATTAGAAGCAATCTCTTCAGACAAAAAGCATGGAAAGCAGTCCAGAACAACCCTATCAGTTTTTAAAATCCGAAACCAATGCGAAGTATAATTCAGTTTTCATATTTCATTTAAATCC